AGGTCACACGTGGGTTATATAAACTTGACGTTTTCTCTAATTATAACCTCTTTTAACTCTTTGAGTCCCAGAGGGTTTAGCATCACAGGCACAAGAGGTAGTCAAAAGAGACGCAAAAATACGTTCATTAGGCTTTTATGCAGTAATCCGTGAACCTGCAATGAGTTCCTTGAGACTCATAGAGCTAAGATCGAATAGGGTATTCAGGATCTGATTTACTGTTGGCAATCCAGATTATTTTCATCTCTTTATATGTGGTAACCTTTAGCTAGCATTTCGGTGTGTAAAATTGATGGTCGATTAAAAAAAAAGATTAACAAATCAACCAAATTTATAGAATTGACTTGGCAAGTTGTACCCACAGCACCCACCACCGTCAGCATGGACATCATTGTCACCCCCACAATATCATTATCATCACGGGCAATGACAATTAGCATAGGTGGTCATTGGTCACTATCTGACACCATCACCAAAATCTCTGATCAGACACGTCCCACTCCTGTTAGGTTGTCAAATAAAAGGACACTCTGTTGCCTCTAAGCGTACTGGGTAAATAGGGCTGGACCTTGATTTTTTAAACCAGTCGGCATTCGGTGTTGATGTGGTCAACATCACTTTGAACCCCCATATGGTCAGATCATCCCGGTTTTTATTATCCTTTGTCTTTCTCTTAATCCTTGCCAGTTACGTTCGCTAGTTGTCCTCAAGTCCTTTCTCCTCATAACACTAAAAAAAAATATATAATTAAAGGACTCTTTCACTCAGGCGTTTCAAGCACACATTGCTTGACATATATTTTATAGACCAATCGGCACTCAGTAGGTGATGCGGTAAACATCACACTAGCAGCTGTTACTTCCCAGGATTTTACATTTTACCCATTTAAGGCTGACTCGACTAGGTTTTAAAGGTCATTTAACAAAAAATGCTCAGCTTGTTCGGTCTTGAACCCATGAGCTTCGGATCCGAAAGCGAGCTTGTGGTCGCCAAACCACGGAGTCTAACAAGAAAACATGTCTATTAATATCCAGTTTCTTTAGACGCAGGGCTAGACCAATATTTTATAGACCAATCGGCAGAAGATGGGTGACTTGGTCAGCATCACGCCGGCCGCCTTTACTTTCCACGACTACACCCGGTACCCACTCAAGGCTGGGTCAGCCTGGGAGCCAAAGTCATTTTTTTTAAAAGCCTGGCTCCAGCAGGGATCGAACCCACGACGTTCCGAGCGTTTAGCTGCTACGCCACGGTGATACCCTTAATTGATTCACGGTCCTTGTTTATTTCTTAGTGAACTGTCTCATCTGCCATGGTAGCATATATTGCTTTTGTATGTATCCGCAAGTCGCGAGAAAATCACTTTGACTTTACTGATAGATTCACATTGAAGCCACAACCATCTTACATTTACACGAATCCTAATTTTCTCTTGACGTGTCCCCAAACGGCAGTATTGTTTACAATTTACACGTTTGTTTACAGGATCATTAAATATTAAAACGCCGCCTACTATGAGGTAATTTGCATGCCCACGCTAAAGTGGGAAAATCTAACAATTTAACCGCTTTACCTCGTATTATTCCCATCCGTCTCCTTTCTGTCATGACTGCTTAGAAAATTATTCTATCATTATAAAAAGCATTAAGCAACCCATTTTAAACTAGCTGTATTTAACAAAAGAGCGTCTGTGATTAAAACCCTAAAATCTGTCGTCTTATGTTCTCTAAAACCTAAACTAAGAAGGTAGTAAAGATTTTTTATCCATGGCTCCATTAGCAGGCTAAACATGTAGATAACACTTTAATATACAGGACAAAGTTCAAATTTAGAGCATGAATCGGTGCAAGTACATTTATAATATAACGAAGTAATGAGGCGATTTTGTATTTCGTGTTGTGATTCAATGCATATTGTTATATGTTGTGTTGAAGACTAAAGTGTGTTTTATTATCCCCAACCAAAAATGTGACGTGCAACATAGACATTTCAACGAGCACACTTTTCTGTTACAGGGAAACCAAGTTATAGTGCGTTTAGAAATTCGTGCCTATGTTAAAACAATTATGCTTCAGCTGTAGTGGAATTAATATGGATGAAATTATTTATTATTCTTACTTCAGTCTTAACGTTATGTGACTTTTGGGAGATCTCTTCTTTGATATTACCATTGTTTCTGTTTTCTTAATATTCAAGAAGAGTCCATTTTTGTCCCTCCCTAGGACCACAATCTCTAATAGGTGTTGCAGGTCTTCTGCGTTTTCTGCTATTAATACTGTATCATCTGCATAACGAAGGTTTATATAATAACCTCCAACCAGTATTCCTGGTCTATCCTTGACCTTCCTCATTATCATTTCACTAGAGAGAGAGAGAAGAGAACCAGTGACAAAACACATCATTGTCTCACTCCTTGATTTGTCTGTTTAGAACTGCCTACTTTATTTCCCATTTTAATTGCTGCTATATATATATATATATATATATATATATATATATATATATATATATATATATATATATATACACACATATATACATATATATATATATATATATATATATATATATATATATATATGTATATATATATATATATATATATATATATATATATATATATATATACATATATATACATATATACATATATATACATATACATATGCATACATATATATATAAGATACTTGTGAAACAACTAACCTATTAGTGCTGCAGGACACAGAGTCTACACCTACACTGTTACACAGGGCCCACCTATCTCTCAGCAGACCAGACCTGACCATCTGCTCATCCGACTTAGCAGACGCAAGCTATCCCCAAGTCCTGGACGACATAGGAAGTGACCTCAAACCTATACTCACAACTGTAAGCACCACCCCTAAATTACGCTTCAAGCAGAGAACCCGTTGGAATTTCCGAAAAGCAAACTGGAAACTATTTCAGGAAACATCTGACTGCCTCTTGGGAAGAATTGACAACAGCTGTGTGGAAACTTTTTGTGAAGACATAACACAAGCAATCCTGAATGCAGCGTCGAAAGCCATCCCAAGGGGCAGCCGGAAGGCATATAAACCTTTTTGGAATCAAGAAATTCAAAATACTATATCTTCTGCCTCTTTTCACCTTCAACTTTCCACTTGCCATGACATACTCAGAATAGGGGTCTCTGTGACGAGGTGGTCAATATGCTTAACTGCAGTATGTCCAAAAGAAATCCACATGTTTGTTTGCCAAGTTGAGGCTCTGACACACATTTGAAACAGGAAAGGAATACTAGCCAGAAAAAAGTGGTTTCTGGCAAGATCCTTAATTCAAAAATATTACATAAACCTATGTTGGGTGTTAAGTCCCTTAGGCGAGTTGGAGCCCATTAGAGACATGACATATTCAAGTCTTTCACTTCTCATGACTTGTCCAAAGCATTAGAGATAACTGTGCCACTAACCCAGTCATAAAGTGAGATAACTGTTCCACTAACCTTGTCATAAAGTGAGATAACTGTGCCACTAACCCAGTCATAAAGTGAGATATCTGTTCCACTAACCTTGTCATAAAGTAAGATAACTGTTCCACTGACCTTGTCATAAAGTGAGATAACTGTTCCACTAACCTTGTCATAAAGTGGGATAACTGTGCCACTAACCCAGTCATAAAGTGAGATATATGTTCCACTAACCTTGTCATAAAGTAAGATAACTGTTCCACTAACCTTGTCATAAAGTAAGATAACTGTTCCACTGACCTTGTCATAAAGTAAGATAACTGTTCCACTGACCTTGTCATAAAGTAAGATAACTGTTCCACTAACCTTGTCATAAAGTGAGATAACTGTGCCACTAACCCAGTCATAAAGTGAGATATATGTTCCACTAACCTTGTCATAAAGTAAGATAACTGTTCCACTGACCTTGTCATAAAGTGAGATAACTGTTTCACTAATCTTGTCATAAAGTGAGATAACTGTGCCACTAATCTTATCATGAAGTGAGATAACTGTGCCAGTAATCTTGTCATAAAGTGAGATAACCGTTTCACTAACCTTGTCATAAAGTGAGATAAACACTCCACTAACCCAGTCATAAAGTGAGATAATCATTCTACTAACCCTGTCATAAAGTGAGATAACCATTTCATTAACCTTGTCATAAAGTGAGATATCCATTCCACTAACCTTGTCATAAAGTGAGATAACCGTTCCACTAACCTTGTCATAACGTGAGATAACCATTCAACTGTCCTTGTCATAAAGTGAGATAACCGTTCCCTTTACCTTGTCATAAAGTAAGATAACCCTTCCATTAACCTTGTCATAAAGTGAGATAACCATACCACTAACCTTGTCATAAAGTGAGATAACCATTCCACTAACCTTGTCATAAAGTGAGATAACCGTTCCACTAACCGTGTCATAAAGTGAGATAACCGTTCCACTAACCTTGTCATAAAGTGAGATAACCGTTCCACTAACCTTGTCATAACGTGAGATAACCATTCAACTGTCCTTGTCATAAAGTGAGATAACCGTTCCCTTTACCTTGTCATAAAGTAAGATAACCCTTCCATAACCTTGTCATAAAGTGAGATAACCATTCCACTAACCTTGTCATAAAGTAAGATAACCCTTCCATTAACCTTGTCATAAAGTGAGATAACCATTCCACTAACCGTGTCATAAAGTGAGATAACCGTTCCACTAACCTTGTCATAAAGTGAGATAACCGTTCCACTAACCTTGTCATAACGTGAGATAACCATTCAACTGTCCTTGTCATAAAGTGAGATAACCGTTCCCTTTACCTTGTCATAAAGTAAGATAACCCTTCCATAACCTTGTCATAAAGTGAGATAACCATTCCACTAACCTTGTCATAAAGTAAGATAACCCTTCCATTAACCTTGTCATAAAGTGAGATAACCATTCCACTAACCGTGTCATAAAGTGAGATAACCGTTCCACTAACCTTGTCATAAAGTGAGATAACCGTTCCACTAACCTTGTCATAAAGTGAAGTCACTATTCCACTGCCACCATTGTTTGTGACACTGTTGCCCTCAACAATAGCTGCAGAACTGTGGACCATGAGGACGCCATCTTTCTTATTGGCATGAACTGCGTTGTATAACAGCTGGACTTCTTTGTTCATTTCTACATGGATGCCTTCACCTGAATGTTCCAGGACAAAAACAAATACAAGTTAAATAATGTAAACAGTGCACAATTTACTGCCTGGTATACTTTGCTGTTTCTCTCATCAGATGTGTTACTACAGGTTTACATCAACATGAAGTACAACAAAACTAATCTCTTTTCACTGAAATACACAAATCACACTGTGTCTTCTGGATTACTGTTCATCAACTGCTAGATGCTTAAGATAGTCTTGTGATTACCAAGGCAATTTACCATGAGTTCCTTTTGTTTACACAAAGCGGAACTGTTCATTTTAATTGTTAAAACTTCCATCAGTGTCAGCAACTGTCAGTTCAGTTTGTGGTAAATAACAAATAAGACACAGTCCTTAGGAACGCAAGAGTTGAGTAACAGCATGGAGTTCCACTGATGTAAAAATGACACTGGGTGTTTTAACAGAATTATGAGGATGGTCTGTTGTATAAGATAAAAGATGCTTGTTTCTCAGTGACTCAATGAGCAAGCCACAGAAGATCAAGGTAGGGTATATATGGAAACAGTGGCGCCATCTGATACAGCACGCAGCGTTTTGCAAAATAAAATTTGTTTTTGTCCCAGATCATGGTGGTGTGAAAAGCAACGAGAGAGCAGATGCTATAGCTGGCAATGCGACTATCAGGAATGGGTCTGCGATGGAGAGGAGAGACATGAGACTCAGTGCCATACGAGAAACCAAAAACTGTGAGGCTTTCAGTTTCCTGAGAAAGGATTTTTAACTGAATAGACTGCAAACCTTGGGTATACAAATTAGAGTGGTGAGACAAGAAAATGTTGCGGGAGCCAGCTGTCATTACATCAACCAGAACAGAACGGGAGTTGTTAGCCTAAAAACACTTGGAGACATACTCAGGAGGAGACAGGAGCACGTATGGTCATGTGCAATAAAGAAGATCTCAAAAACGAACAATGAACAATGAACAAAGAACAATGAACAAAAAATAAAAGTAGTCATATAATTTATCTCAAACACCCCATGAGGTAACAGGCAGAATAATGGAGAGGCTCAAAAAGATCGCTACAGTTGTGAGAGAATGGCACAGCTGGGAGTGACCAGGGGGTCTGGCAGACATTTTACACTCACAGGAAAGGTGAGATGGACTTATAATCATACTGCCACCATCAGAACTGCCACCATCAGAACTGGAACTAATCACTGGCTGCTGAAGATGAGAACGGAGCACAAATGTCCCGATGGGATTGTCCAGAGTGTTGTGATCTCAATTCTTGACTTATGTTAACTCTTACACATCCCATCCCTGCAATGCAGTGCAGTCCCTCACAATCCATGGATCACAAAGGAGGTGAAAATGGAAGCCTGTGAAACTTTTGAGATAAAAAGCAAGCTCTCACAAGAGGATGCAAAACAGACCCATTTCTTCATGGGTTTGTATGAAGACAGGAAACACAGTCAGATTCAATGGCAAGAGATGTCATTGGAGACATACTAAGTTCAAAATGTCACTTCATAACTGTCAGGAGTTGTGCCTCTAGTACAGAGACATGCTAGGTTTGTGATATTGCATCTAGTCCAACTGCAATGAAAGTGTTACTGTAAAAAATTCTAGTCAAGAGTAGGTTACGTCCCATGTCTGAGCCCCACTTCGGCACAGTCTCTTGCCATAGACCTGTATGCAGAACCTGTCCATATGTGGTCCAGGTGGCTAGTCTAGAATTCCCTAACTCCCCCTTCTACATTTGTGAAGCAATCTATTGTACCAGCCGCAATGTCATTTACACCATCAACTGCAAGAGATGTGGCATGAAATACATTGGTGAAAAAGGTCTACGGCTGGCTGACATGTTCAGACATCTTTTGGATGTGCAAAATGGTGCTCTGAAACCAGTACCGTTGCACTTCAATTCCCATGATCACCAAGGTGTCCTTGACATGGAGGTGACAGCCCTTCAATCCAGCCACTCCAGTGACAGTCTGGAAGTTTCTTGAGTACTGCTTTATTTATACTCTGGGGACTTTAACACCCTCCAGACTGAATTACCAATACAGTTTCATTTAAACTCCTAGGGGATTGAACTACCCTCACAGTTTCATCCTCAACACCCCAGTTATGGCCCCTGGTACCTCACAGTGGGTATTATTAAACCCCCCCCCCCCCCCCCCCCCCCCCCCCCAGCCGACACGTGTAGGCAGTCTGCTGAGAAATAACCGACCCGGCTGCTCTGAGATACCAGCTAAGTGATTTTGTGTATCTATGTAGTGTTGTTTAATTTGTATGTGCTGATGAAGGCTTAACAGCCGCAATGTTCACGTTTCGTTTGTATTTGTTTTATTGTAAAGCTTGCTAATATACTTTTCGTTCGGTTTTATATCTTTTTTTGTGTAAAAAGGTTCCCACTGTAATTTTAGGGCAGCCCTGCAGTGTAGACCAAAATTTAAGAAGGAAAAAATATAAAAAAAACAAGTACTTTGTAAAAAATACCAAAATGCATAGAATACCTTTATTATAGTAGATATTATTGTACTGCAGTAGAGCAACATCTGAGCTTGTTTCAAGGCATGGCAACTGGTCACTGCACTGAGAGAATACTCTCTGATTCACGTCTGCTAGCAGTGGGTCCAAATGTCTTGCCATAGAACTAGACTGTTAATGTGAATGAAACAACCAATCAATGTGAAATTCATCCTATTTATCAGTCAATCAATATTTATATCTAAATAGAGAAATCAGACGCGGACAGTATAAGAAAAACATAAAAGCAAAATTAAAACATGTGGGGTAAGATGTATAAGAAATGCAGTAGGAAAAACCAGATGTGAAAGAGTCACCAATGAAAAACTAAGAACAACGGTAGGCTCAGTACCAATCAATGATTTCATCCAGTGCATGACTAAAGAGTTAAATCAACATATAATGAAGCACAAAAATAAATCCATTTCATATTGGACAAACACTTAATAAAATTAGCAGAGGCCATATCATTAAAACTGAACTTTCCTGTGTTGTGTAAACAAAAAGACCCTGTGATAAATGTGAAGTTATCATGGTAATCACAAGGCTGATCTTGAATTTCTGTCTGGTGGAGAGATGTACAGCCCAACTTGACAATGACACTGTGATTTTGTATTTCAGTGAAAAGATTCATTTTCATCCATCAGTATATGTTGATTAAACTCTCTAGTAATGCAGCTGATAAGATATACTGAAATATGCTGAGAAATAAACTTTGCAATGTATTGTTTGAGTCAAAATTATTTAAATATGATCTTCCTTGACTAAAACATCAGTGTTCACATTGAAGGCTGTCTGATAACCCCTTGAATTTCTACATACAATGGAATGGCTTGGACAGTAGAGTCTCCTCAGCTCTAGAATATTGTATGACTTTGCAAAGAAAGATTCTCAGAATATCTTGGACAAAGAAGATGAGAAATAATGACATCTTGAAAGATCTGAACATCAAGGAAAATTGGCTAATAAACAGCATCCTGTCTCGAAAGCTGAAATATTTTGGCCATATCAAGCACCACACGGATTGGAAAAAATTATAGCAGAAGGCATGGTACCAGGAAGGAGGGGTAGGGGCCAACTGACAAGAAGATAGGCACAGGATATAAGTGACTCCTTGAGTATGAAAGTAAATGAGGGGGGAGAATTGGTGAGAGACCGAGTTTCTTTCAGGCAGACTGTGATGAGAGCGGCGTTCTGCAAAGGACCTGCTACATGATGATGATGATCTTTCAGCTACTCATACCAGAAATATTTCAACATAATTATTCACAACCTCCCATGTGAATTCTGGGGCTCCACTGTGGGGGAAAAAAATAAACAAAAACTCACTGCCTTCCTAACAAGCATGTGGTAAGAGTCAACTAATTAGGCGTCTCTTTTGAAGTCGGAGTTATTTTCCTGAGTGGTACAGAACCAACATCTAGACACAAATAAGCCTGCTCTGTAAAATAAATGTGCAGCCAACACTCAAGTTCTGGAACAAGCCAAAAGTCCTGATGTAGACGAACAACCAGAATTTTCCACTAGAGTTTACAACTGGTGGTTATGAAGAAGAAGAACATTCACAACCTAATTCCACATCTGTTTTGGGGGCAGATGCCCAACTTCAAAACCACTCCAACAATTGCCAACAGAAACACTTGTTATCAACCACTAATAATCTGACCTAATAACTCCTGACCCACAAATGACTGCGGGTAACACCAGACATGGGTGCCATAATTATATCTTCTTTGGAGGTTGATATCGATTTTTCTGTCCATGATATTCAGATGTGAGAGGTAATGACCAGGTTGACAGATTAGCTGCTGCTGCTCCTCTGGATGATGAGCTACCTTATGATAAAGCGGACATGATAAATGCACTCTGGGAATTGAATGGACAGTGAAATAGAAAAGAGAATCCATACACTAAAAGACTCATTCAACACGGGGTAAGCAGAGGTTCTGGAAATATTTAGCACTAAGAGGGAAACAAAAGCGGACTTTTAATCAGCTTGCAGTTGGCTCTATTAGCATGTTGACTCTTCAGTGACTGCTGAAAAACAAGATGGAGCATGTGTAGGAATGTCCCCAGAGCAGTCATGTCAATTCTTGACTCTCCCTGTGTGGGTTCCGGGGGCCTATTATGGGGAAAACAAGAATAGACCCACTGCCTACCCAAAAGCATGTCATAAGAGTTGACTAATTGGGAGCTTTCTTCAAAGTTGGAGTGCATCTGCCGGAGAGGCAAGGAACCAATAGTCTGCACACAAATGTCAGATCTGTAAAATTGATGCACATGCAACACTCTGGTTCTGAAACAGGGCTGCAGTCCAGAAGTGGACAAACAACCAGAACTTTCTGCCAAAATTTACAGCTGGTCAACGCAAAAATGAAGATTAATTGGAGGCTGAACTGGGGATCTGGGATTCACCCTTTTGGTCTGCCGGCCAGATCGAGATTTTGTAATCTTAGAGTGGTCAAAGCTTCAGGCAGCAGCCTGGAGGAATGGAATGGGTGGAATGAAGAGGAGCAGCAGCAGCAGTACCAACCATATATGCTGTCTTGTCTAACATCAGCACTCCACAGTGCTCATTGCTACAGATCTGATTGCTTTGGATTTTCACGCTGTTGGTTGCCATCATCCAAATTCCACAGCCAGCATTGCCTGTGAATAAAAGGATACATGTACATCAAGAAATTCCAGGAGTCCCTATGTGGGTTCATGGTTCTATTTTGTGGGGACCATAAAGAACAGAACCACTGCCCTCTAACCAACATGCTACAAAAGGCAACTAGTCAAAAGTTTGCTGAAATCAAAAGTGTTGGGCTGAGAGGTGCAACAAGTTTTGCAGCTTAGCTGTACAACATAATACAACCACTCTTTTAAGGGCAAACCTGGAAGCAGAAGAAGAAGAAGAAAAAGAAGAGGAGGAAGAGGAAGAGGAGGAGGAGAAGAAGAAACAATTTTCTACATTTTGAGAGGTATTTGGAAAATGGTGCTAGCCCCATATTTGTATCGACCAATCAGCATTCGGCGGGTAAAAAAAAAACCAGTAAAAATTATTAAAATTATCCTAGCCGCATTAATTCCCAGACTATTTTAATATGTTATTTTTATGTGTGGCTTAGAAGTTAGTGAAATGGTTTCATAATGCAATCCTCACATTTACCAGGTCAAAATTACTGCAGTGGGTGGTTTAGAAAAAAGACCTATCTCATGGCTTTCAGACAGTGGTACGAAAGCATCACCATGGAAGAGACTTGGGTTTCATCCCACAACATTCCCATGGTTAGCAGTTGATATAATACAGCCTACTTCTATTGTGAAGATCGCTTTCTAGGCAGAGTTAACAAAGAAGCCAAGATTAATTATTTTAAAAAATTCCTAGAAATTTAAGCAGTGGATAAAATGTCTTCTATAGTTCTTGCATTAAGATAACTCATGCTCATAAAATGTTATTGATTTTAAATGTAATAAGAAAATATATATCAAAGGCTTTCCATAGTTCTTGCTTTAAAACAACCCATGCTCATTAAATGTCCCCGATTTTAAATGTAATAGGAAAATATATATCAAAGGTTTTCCATAGCTCTTGCTTTAAAACAACCCATGCTCATTAAATGTCCCCGATTTTAAATGTAATAGGAAAATTGCAACAACTATTTCCATAGTTCTTGCATTAAGTCAAAACATGCTCATAAAATGTTATTGATTTTAAACGTAATAGGAAAATATACATCACACAAGCTTGCAAAGAAAGCAGTTTAGAATTTTGCTGAACTAATGAGAGAGGCTGAGAATAGAAGACACTGAAAGATATTATTAGACGATTTATTAACCTGTCACCCTAAGAAATCTGATTTTCCTACTTAACGTTTTTTTGATGACATGACGTCTTTGGGCAGCTATATGCCTTTATAATGGCTTTGGTACTGCTTGCAACTGCACAGTGTGTAGACATGGTGAATATGATTATATTTCTCCCCAAAATGATAAATATTTGAGATATCATTAGGGGTGATAAACTTATGTCATTACCAGCAATCAAAACAATTATCAAGAGAAAATACAAGGTATTGTGTCGAGAACAAACAGTAAACATCCACAAGACCGCATCAGGAAACTCAACAGAAATCAACATACAGCAATTTTCCGTCTTTGAACAGGACACTGAGAGCTCTACTGCCAATGCATAAAATAAATACTGTACAGTCCCCCCAGTGTGCCTGTCAAACAGGACCCCAAACACCCCAGCACATTTTGCAGACCTGCCCACTCTACCTGCAACTTCGAAAAGACACCTGGCCTCAAGAGCAAAGTGGGCAGAGCAAGCTGTGGAGTAACCATGAAGGACCTGCTACTGACATGCGAGTTCATAGAGGCAACCCACCTGATGGTATGATCTGAGCATATGAAACCGAATGCAAAGAAGAAGAAATGAAGAAGAAGAAGAAGATGGAAGAAGAAAAAGAAGAAGAAGAAGAAGAAGAAAAAGAAGAAGAAGTAGAAGAAGAAGATGGAAGAAAAAGATTGAGTGATTATTCCCATCATTAAAAAAAAATACCTTTGCACAAAATAACGAACCCTCTGAATTCTTAAAAAAATCTGCCTAAGATTCAAAATTTCTCCTGCTTCTTTTTCTCGTCCTCTAGTTTCTCAGGGTAGAATATCATGGAATTTTAACATGTTATTTTTTAATTAAACGTTTGAAAAGGTCATTTTTAAAGATTTAAGACCAAAAGATTTAAGACTAATTTACCTAAAGAATGAATGAACTGGACCACTTAAGTATGTCATACAAGGCGTGCAGTTTATTCTTCCATTCTGTGTGATTGCTTCAATATCACGGAGGGAGTCCAGTCTAGCCCCTTAGCTATTTCTTATCAACGTTCGTCTCAGGGTTCTTTTATATTTCCCAATTTGTTCCAATTAACTCTTTGAGTCCCAAGGAACGCGTCATATGTTCATAGATTCTTACCTAGAAGCCCAATGAACGCAAGATGCGCTGATTTTACGTCTTTCTTGACTACCCCTTAGGCCTGTGATGCTAAACCCCCTGAGACTCAAAGAGTTAAAATGACTGGTTGGTGAATCTCGACTCAGTTCTGCTCAGGATTTGCCCACTATAACCACTGAAACGCCCAACCCAGAAAACCTGACTGCTACAATGGAAATGTTAAACCATTACTTAGAAAAGAAATGTCATAGATTACTAAAACTGAAATGTTATACAAATTGGACTTCTAACCACTAATTAGGTTATTTTCAATCGATGCCTTTCCATCCAAACCAATCACAATGCCATGACTGATTCCACTGACGATACTGTTTCCCGTGACAAGAGAGCTGCCCCCATTCCGAATGTCGATGCCACCCCAGTGATTTCCCCTGATGGCATTATCTAAAAAAGAAGAAAAAGAAAAATTAAACTTGGCAAAACACTTTTTTTTTTATGTGACAAAGAGAAATAAAAACAAATTATGAAACGCAAAATATGAAGAGAGTAAAATACGTAAACGTTATTATTTATTTATCATGATAACATAAATAACCAGCATAGAACCAAGTCAATAAATTCAATCTGGTGGTTTCCTGTGTGGGTTTTAGGGCCCTATTGTGGCGTGGGGTGTGCGGGGGAGGGGAGGATAGACAACAAGCATGTTATAACAACTGACTAATTAGGGGTGTTTCCTTCAAAGTAGGCATGCGTTTGCCTGAGTGGTAAGCAACCAACGGTCTGCATACAAATAAGCAAGACCTGCAAACAGGATGTGTTATATAAAATCTGTCAAGTTCTGGAACAAGACTAAAGTCCAGAAGTGGACAAACAACCAGAACTTTTTGTCTGAGTTTATAGCTGGAGTTTAACATGGCTCCCTTTCAAGATATGAACCAGTAGAAAATAGTGAGATATTGAGAGAAGAAGCTTAACACAATACCATAGCTCCCTTTCATGAGACAAAAACAACAGAAAATATCAGAATAATGAGAAAGCTAACCAATAATGCATCCTTTTCCTCCAGCATATATTGCCACTCCGGCTGCTCGACCTTCATAAATATAATTTTCTCTGAAAACAATTATAGAAAAAAATGAGTAAAAATCTTTCAGATATAATTTTGTTCCATTGTTCTAAAGAGACGCATGGGAACCACAGGCCATGGTAACACCAATTAGGGCCAGGGATAAAGTTCCTCCTCTCCATAGCATAAACCCTGGGCTGTATTGTAGAGACTATGTATTGCCCAAGAAGATCCCTCTCTCTACCTGCTTTGTTAACTCCAAAGGAAAGGTATCACATTTGAAACAAAGCAAGCTGCCAGATCCGGAAAGGAGAGCACTTCTAGGAGGTGAGGTCCTGTCTGGTCAAGATATTCATAAAATGAGCCCTGATCCACATCCTCTGAAGTTGTGGTAAAAATCATTCTGAACAGTTACTAATAAACTAAAGGGTATCACATAAGGTTTTATTATATAGAAAAAAAAACACTTTAAAAAAAATTTAATTTATATAATACGCTCTACATGGACCGCTACCATTGTTTTAAAAACACATTTCAATACGTGCTCTTCACTGCTGAGGAACACATATAAGCACAACTGTAGTTTTGCTTGTAATGGTTCTGGTGATTTGTCCCCTGCCCCCTCCATGCATGGAAACTTAGGGGGCATCCTGTATATACATTTGTTAACTGCTGTGTGTTCAGAACATGGATAATTAAACAGTACAATAAAATCAGCAATGTAAAGCTTTAGAGAAGAACTAAAAAAATTTCTGAAAATCAAGAGGTGAGGAAAAAAGCTGGCACTGGATAGAAAACACACAGGGAAACAAAAAGCTAGAACATCCTTGCAATGAGACCCACATGCACTGGAATCCAAAGAAAGAAAAGGAAATAAAAAGACACCAAATTTATAACAAAGAGTAGTTGTATAAAACAGGGACTTAGGACGAGCCTGTACTCAACTGTGTGGAAAGGACAGAAAATACAGTGTGGATTAATTAACTCTTTCATCCTGAGGGAAAAGAGGTGAAGGAGGAGGGGGGGGGGGGGGAGGTTACCATCATAGGACCAAGGGTTGGTAATGCAATTCTGAGATTTCACAAGTCTATAACATTAAAATAAACCATACTAATTCAGCTGCTGTGCAGCACACATATATTACACATCAAAGTGACCAAGGAATGTTCAGGAATAATATTAGAACACTGTTACAACAAATAATTGTGTTAGTAAAGTTAGATATAAAGAAACAGAGAACATGTTTTTATAAATTAGTAAAATGAAATAATATTTGTCCACCTATCATCATGGTGCTAAAGAAAAATCTCGATAAAATATATTCAAAATGAATCACAAATGAATGTAAATCACTTAATAATATATAAAAATAAAAATTCAATCTGTATATTGGATCTTCACCACAGAGCACTTTTTTTGTTTTTTTGGTAAAGAACAACGATTTCCTAAAACAATTAGCATCTTCTCACAAAATGATCTTTATATAATACTCAGACCGCAAACAGTTTATAGCCATGTTCCTAAATAATATGTGAGATAGTACTAGAACTAATTGAAACTGAAGAAAATCACCCTTTTCCCCCCACAAATATTTATTCTCTTTCTGCCAGCTGACTTTGTTATCATTGTACGCTTTACATCAGGTAAATTTCTAGACAACTGAAAATGGTCTAGTTAAATTTGAGGCTTCTAAAGCCGTAAATTGTGTTGGCATATGAAGAAGACAACTTGGTGGCCATACTGTTTTCAGACAGCTAGTAGTAAAGTTCAAACATACCATATTCTATGCTTTTTGCCACATTTCTGAATAAAACTAATGCCCAACATGTGTGACTGAAGGCAAAGGACCAGTAAACCATTTAAATTTGCTGGTGTGTCCTTTTACAATGAAAAAACATATACAAGTGTTACATGTTATTAAGGCTGCTCCGTAGTTAAAAATTAATGATGAGACATGTCTTGGAATTGAAAGGGTTAAATATCTGTCTGAAAAAAAAGCTGGAATAGTTACAGTTTAAACATCAAGATCTCTTCGATTTACCTAATGACTGGATTTCCCCCATACAGAACATACACTCCAGCCTCTGTGTTGCTGTAAATATTATTGTTCTTGATGTGCCCCCGTCCGCTGCCAAGGACTACAATTCCTGACCTCTTTCCATGATGAATTTGATTGAACTGCGTGTATATGTGAACAGACAGAAAAACTTGCTGTTGTTTTCATGTGACAAGATCTGAAGAAAGACTGTATGTGAAGAGATCAGAAGAGAGATTGTACATGAGGAGATCAGAAGTGCTATATTTGTGTGTGAGAAGATCAGAAGTGATATATTTGTGTGTGAGGAGATCAGAAGTGATATATTTGTATGTGAGGAGATCAGAAGTGATATATTTGTGTGTGAGGAAATCAGAAGTGCTATATTTGTGTGTGAGGAGATCAGAAGTGATATATTTGTGTGTGAGGAAATCAGAAGTGCTATATTTGTGTGTGAGGAGATCAGAAGTGATATATTTGTGTGTGAGGAGATCAGAAGTGATATATTTGTGTGTGAGGAGATCAGAAGTGCTACATTTGTGTGTGTGTGAGGAGATCAGAAGTGATATATTTGTATGTGAGGAGATCAGAAGTGCTATATTTGTGTGTGTGAGGAGATCAGAAGTGCTATATTTGTGTGTGAGGAGATCAGCAGTGATTTATTTGTGTGTGAGGAGATCATAAGTGATATATTTGTGTGTGAGGGGATCAGAAGTGCTATATTTGTGTGTGTGAGGAGATCAGAAGTGATATATTTGTATGTAAGGAGATCAGAAGTGCTATATTTGTGTGTGAGGAGATCAGAAGTGCTATATTTGTGTGTGTGAGGAGATCAGAAGTGCTATATTTGTGTGTGTGAGGAGATCAGAAGTGCTATATTTGTGTGTGTGAGGAGATCAGAAGTGCTATATTTGCATGTAAGGAGATCAGAAGTGCTATATTTGTGTGTGTGTGAGGAAATCAGAAGTGCTATATTTGCATGTAAGGAGATCAGAAGTGCTATATTTGTGTGTGTGAGGAAATCAGAAGTGCTATATTTGCATGTAAGGAGATCAGAAGTGCTATATTTGCATGTAAGGAGATCAGAAGTGCTATATTTGCATGTAAGGAGATAAGAAGTGCTATTTTTGCATGTAAGGAGATCAGAAGTGCTATATTTGCATGTAAGGAGACCAGAAGTGCTATATTTGCATATAAGGAGATCAGAAGTGCTTTTTTTTTGCATGTAAGGAGATCAGAAGTGCTATATTTGCATGTAAGGAGATCAGAAGTGCTATATTTGCATGTAAGGAGATCAGAAGTGCTATATTTGCATGTAAGGAAATCAGAAGTGCTATATTTGCATGTAAGGAGATTAGAAGTGCTATATTTGCATGTAAGGAGATCAGAAGTGCTATATTTGCATGTAAGGAGATCAGAAGTGCTATATTTGTGTGTGTGAGGAGATCAGAAGTGATATATTTGTGTGTGTGAGGAGATCAGAAGTGCTATATTTGTGTGTGAGGAAATCAGAAGTGCTATATTTGTGTGTGAGGAAATCAGAAGTGCTATATTTGTGTGTGAGGAGATCAGAAGTGATATATTTTATGTCAGGAGATTACAAAGTATATAAAGAGATCAGAAGATAGACTTATTAGGGGAGATCAGAGTTGAGATATTTATATGTGAATAGACCAAATGCAACAATTATTTGTATACAAAGAGATCAAGCAAAGGAAGAAGTTGCAAGAAGATTCCTGGCGGACATTTGTCCTAGCATGGAAGGGTGTTTACATGAACTAAAACATGTTGCTGGAGATCTTTGGAGTATGTTGTGGAAAAACATGGTCACTTATGGCTGACTGACTGACTTTCTACCCCACCAGGACATCACACAAGCGATAAACACCCGATGACACCATGTGGGTGAGGATCGCTGTGGAGAGGTCCCAGAAACCGCATTTAGCCTTTAGGCCATATTTATGGCCAGGCTATATTGCGGCCCCTGGCATAGCCAGAGTAGGGCTTCAAATAACGAAAAATTTCATCCTAAAAAGTACGGGAAGTAGGCGACTAAAATGGTCACTTATGCCAGTAGGCAAGTGCTTAATGATAATGGTGAGATCATAAGTAAGATACATAAATGTGAAAAAGACTAGAAATGACAGTTGTCTGTATGTAAGGAAGACCAGATGTGATAGTTATTGTAAGTGCATGGATCAGATTTAAAAGGTCAATGAATGCTCAAATTAACCTTAGAAAAAAAGTAAAATAACAATGATTACAATAAAAGACAATATAAAATGGGAATAAATAATTTCATTAACCATCTCCGTTTACAAGGGAGACAATGGGTGACATTTAAAAGTAATTGCAAAAGAAACTAGTCTGAAACTTCTTTAGCATGAAATAAAGTACAGATAATAGAAATGTTTACACACTATTCACCTGTACAAGAGGATCCGCATTTTTGCGAATATCAATGCCAGCCTCAGCGTTAGAATGTACATCATTGCCTGCAGAATGTGGACAGACCAGTTAGTCAGTTTCCATTTTGCACTATCTAGTTTTTGTACTGTGTTTGTCTGGTCTCATAATCCAAACACCCCCCTTGAGGGATGCAATTTTTCGTTATTTGAAGCCCCACCCTGGCTCTTGCCAGGGGCGGCAATATAACCATAAATAGAGTCTAATGGCTGAAAGCGGTTTCCAGGACCTCTCCACAGTGATCCTCATCCACATGGTGACACTGTGTGTCATCAGGTGCTTATCGCTTATGTGATGTCCTAGTGGGGTAGAAAGTCAGGGTCAAAAATCTTGAGGGATGCAATTTTTCTACTTTGAAGCCCCACCTGGCTCTTGCCAGGGACTACAATACTACCAACCATAAATACTACTACTACTAATGAATGTGGTTTCTGGTCTCTTTAGATCCTCATCCACTGAATATTTCATTTTGCGCAAAAAAAAAATTAAGCATTAAATTTTCTAGTTCTTTTTTGTACATTAAACAGAGGTTACAAAATAAAGCAATATGTTTCTTTCTTTTTTTTTTGGGTCACTGACAGAGGTTACTCAGAAAGCATGCTGAGGAAGGTCAGGATAGGCATGCTTTGCTGCGAAGGTCACGGGTGAGGAGTATTGTCAGGATCTTTTCTCCGTGATATGCCAGTGTGTTGGGAAATGAACAGGCGGACAGACTGGCAGGCTCTGCACAACTTGGTGGAATACTGATGCATGATAAAGGCAGTTGTGGTTAGTGCCTGTGTGGGAGAACGTGTACAATTCAGAGGAGCAAATGGATCCCAGTCTCGTGAGACTTATGCAGCAGGGAGTGACGAAGGGTTCTGGCCAATGCTCGAGGCTCAGAGAAAAGACAAGACAGACTTTTAATCAGAATGCTACTGGCACCATTAGTATTGGAATTCTGCCCTGGCTGCTGAAGATAGGGACAGAGCACTTATGGGAATGCCCTGAGTGCTGTGTTGTCGATTCTTGAATCAACTCAACTCAACTCACTGACAGAGGTTTAAATACCAAAATTCAAGATAAGTTACATTTCCCCTGTTCATGTACTGTTATTTTGTATTTTTGTCTCATGATTTTTATCCAACTTTCTATCCATTTTATTATCCTTCAAATGTTAGGTTTCCATTATTCAGACGAATTGGGAAAGGTTGGGGAATTGGGGGAGGGAGGGTGTAACACTTCATCGCAAATGAGTGACCCCATAATTGTTCCGTTCCTGTACCAGTGAAAACCACACAAGAAGCCCATCTCTGGCCCATGTGAAAAGTGTAAAACGGACAGCAGTCCTTGACAAATCCAACAGCTTGCACATGCACCCAATGCATAAGGCTGCCACCAGAACTGCCAAAATCTACAGTCTGTAACTAGAATTGCTATTCACAGCTGATGGAAGCAGCAGTCATGACAAACCAGCAGGGGCACACACATTACTGCGTAAGGCACACTGTCAACTGTGTGGCAAACAGCTACTTGCCATGTTCTGAAATTGCATCAGCATCACAACCTGTTGTGCCATTATAATTCACATAGGGTATGCAGTTTATTCTTCCATTCAATTCTATCCTGTTCAACTGCTTTAATATCATGGATGGAATCCAATCCAGCACCTTTGGCCTCTCATATCAATGTTCATCTTTGAGTTTCTTTTGAACATCCTCATTTTCTCAATCCATTTGATTCTCATTTAAGTACCTGTTTGGTGGTTTTCTGTTCTCTTCTCCTCAGGATATGTTCAACATAGTGTCCTGGTAATTTAATTACTTCTTCATGTTTGACACTATCATTTGTTATTGTCTAGAATAGGAAGCATAAGTTTCACACTATCATTTGTTATTGTCTAGAATATGAAGCATAAGTTTCACACTATCATTTGTTATTGTCTAGAATATGAAGCATAAGTTTCACACTATCATCTGTTATTGTCTAGTCTATGAAGCATAAGTTTCACACTATCATTTGTTATTGTCTAGTATAGGAAGTATAAGTTTCACGCTATCATTTGTTATTGTCTAGTATAGGAAGCATAAGTTTCACACTATTATTTGTTATTGTCTAGTATAGGAAGTATAAGTTTCACACTATCATTTGTTATTGTCTAGTATAGGAAGCATAAGTTTCACACTATCATTTGTTATTGTGTAGTCTATGAAGTATAAGTTTCACACTATCATTTGTTATTGTCTAGTATATGAAGCATAAGTTTCTCACAAGCATTTGTTATTGTGTAGTCTATGAAGCATAAGTTTCACACTATCATTTGTTATTGCCTAGTTTATGAAGCATAAGTTTCACACTATCATTTGTTATTGTCTAGTATATGAAGCATAAGTTTCACACTATCATTTGTTACTGTCTAGTATATGAAGCATAAATTTCACACTATCATTTGTTATTGTGTAGTCCATGAAACATAAGTTTCACACTATCATTTGTTTTTGTCTAGTCTATGAAGCATAAGTTTCTCACAATCATTTGTTATTGTGTAGTCTATGAAGCATAAGTTTCACACTATCATTTGTTATTGTAAAGTTTATGAAGCATAAGTTTCACACTATCATTTGTTATTGTGCAGTCTATGAAGTACTAAGTACAGATCCATTTTTACTAATAAAGTTTTTTTCAAGAGGGTTCTAAAAAATTAACACTTTACTAAATAAAGAACGTACCAACAATCACTCCTGAAGCAGCCAATCTCATGAAAATTCCAGACGTTTGGCAGTGATGTATTTTGTTTTTCAAGATAGCAACCTGGCAACAAGAATTGAAATGCAGAAATTTGCTTTGCTTTGTCAATAAATTGGAGACACAAAAAGTTTTTAAAAAAAATTAGAATTTAAAAACAAACAAAAAATTATTCAGATAAACAATTAAGGGCTCTTTTTAAGCTATGAGGTATGCTACATATATGGTGATAGTTTCATATTTTTAGACCAATCAAAGGGTGATATGACAAATATTTTGTCATGTATCCAGGGCCACTCTATCTTGAGGTTCCACAGTAGTAAGGAATCATTTCATGCCATTACCATATCAAGAATATGGGGCTAAACACATACAAATAAATCAATTATAGCTTGATGAGTGATACAGTAATCATTTTGCCAGTCAACTTTGCTTCCTAAGAAATTTCATGATGCTAATTTTAGGCTGGGTTAATCTGGGAGCCCTGTCAATTATTTAAAAACCTGCTTCCATGCAGATTCAAACCTGCAATCCTTGAACCGGCAAGCAAGCATGCAAATATGCTGCTAATTACCTATTTTTTATAGACCAGTCGCCAGTAAAGGGGTAAGTGAAGTGAAGGGGCCTTTTCCACGCCTTCAGGTGTATTGGGCATATAGGGCTAGACCTATAATTTATAGACCAATCGGCACTTGGTGGGTGATGTGGTCAGCATCACGCCGGCCGCCTTTACTTCTCAGGACTGCAACTGGTACCCACTCAAGGAGGAAGGGTCAACTTGGACGTCAATGTCATTTTTGAAAATAGTATGGCTCCGTCACGACCCGAACCCATGACGGGGTAATGTGGTTAATATCAGATCAATATCAAATCAGTCACCTTTACTTCCTGTGACATTACACGATGCCCATGTTAGGCTGGGTCACCCTAGACCTTTTTAGTTGTGACAAGCTTTTATTAGCTGTTGCATTTTCCTCTATAGATAGACTGAAAGTGGGCAATGCTGTCCCCCAACTACTGAGCTGAGTGCATCACGCGACATTGTTAGCTGCTGATTTCATTTGGAATGTTATTTTTTTGGGTTAATTTTTTAAAATCTACAGTGCCAAGTGTGGTTTGTGTTCTAATCTGCAGATTCAGAAAATGGTGAGTGGCCTGTTATCAGAGGATGGCTGTGCCTAATGTAATTAACTGCATGTGCAACTACAGATCTGTTGTAACTACTGCTTCCATCGATGGCGAACTGCATTTCTAGTGCTGGACTGCTGGCATTGGCACTTTTGATACCTGCCTTGTGCATTTAAGGCATGTGTACTGTGTATGCTAATGGCTTTACTGAGACTGCAGTCTTGTCACTGTAGAGGAGAAAAGTAGCAGAGGCAGACCAAGACAATCCTGGATACAGAATTTACCTTAACGAATAAGCCTCTAACATGCAAATATCAAACCCACTGCAAATGACCAGCAGATCTGGTGAGGACTGATCAGTCAACAACTGACAACCGATGTCACTTATAAGTTGTCCCCTCGTGGGATGCAATTTTGTGTTATTTTGAAGACCCACCCTGGCTTTTGCCAGGGGCCCTGAATATAGCCGGGGCATAGATATGGCCTAGCCATTGATATGGCCTAACGGATGAAAGGGGTTTCTGGGACCTCTTCACGGGTGATCCTAATTCGTATGGTGGCACTTTGTGTCGCCTGGTGTTTATCGCTTGTGTGATGTCCTAGTGGGGTGCAACAACCAACCAACCAACTGAGAACCCAATGATATGAAGTTTTATGGGACTACTTTCTTCTTTTTTTATGGCTATTTGAAGATGTAAATGCACTGTGTCCGTTTACGAGGGCTGCAATATTTATACCTTTAAGCAGACACATCCGGCTTCTATAGGCTTTTGCTGCCTGGGTTAGCCTTCCTGGTTATGGGAGTTCTTCTTCTTCTTTTGTGCTCATCCGAAAAAAGTAAATACCTTGTGCCCGTTTACAACATGGCTGTGATATTTGCACCTTTAAGCCGGCACATCAGACTTCTACAGGCATTTGCTGCCTGAGTTAACCTTCCCAGTTATGGATAGACGATGACGATAATGTGTTGGTGTTCTTGTGTAACCTACCCTAGAGTTCTGGATACATCGTATTCCGTACCCCACATCACTAATCTCACACTCCGAGACAACAGCATGTGCCTGGAGGCTGACCATGGCCCCTCCTTTACTGTGATTCATGCGGCATTGGTGGATCAAACAGCCGTGTATCTGTTTGACATACGTGCTGTGGACAGGAGAACATTCACAACTGTATTTTAATATAATGTAGCTTTGGACTATGTAGCTTTGTATATGAATTCTTCTTCTGTCTTTCTAGCCTCCAATGGAGCATAGGCCCTCAACCAACTCACGCCAAGTCGTTCTATCTTTAGCTATCGCATGCAGCTCTCTCTATATCCTCCCAATACTTTCTAATTTCATTCTCCAGCTTTTCCTTGTGATTTTTGGCCTTTCTTTATTCCTATGCCCCTGGGGGTTCCAGTGCAAAGACCTTCTAGTTATACTGTTCTCCGGTTTTCTCAATGTGTGTTATATCCAACGCCAGCGTCTTTTCTTCACCTCTTGGTCTGCTGGAGCTTGCTTAGTTCTCTCCCAAAGCTCTACATTAGTGATTCTATCATACCATTGAATTCTCTCTACTCTTTATGAATTCTAGAAGTTTAAAAATCTAGAAGGATTGTTTTTACAAATAAATTATGTATCTATGGGCAGGTAAAACCTGTATTTTATACAATGAAGAACATCATATACAATAAATCTCTGTCCTGGAAACTTTGGAAAAAAGAATACTTGCATCTTCTATAGACCCAACACTCGCCTGCCTGCCGATGCAAAGGTTGTGTGTTCGGTCCTGACAAAACTAGGTATTTTTTCAATTGACCTTGGCTCCTAGCTCAATCCAGCCCTGAATGAGTATCAGGTGGAGTCCTGGGAAGTAAAGGTGGCCAGTGTGACGTTAACCACATCCCCTACCAAATGTCAATTGGTTTGTAAAACATGCTTTTGGGGAGGCAGTGGGTCTATTCTTGTTTTCCCCACAATGGGGCCCCGGAACCCACACAGGGGATTTTTCTGATTACCGTCCTGCCTTTTCTCTGAGCCTCAAGTATCTGCCAGAACCTCTTGTCACTCCCCCTGCATCAATCTCACCAGACTGTGGTGATCCATCTGCTTCTCCGAACTGTACACGCTCTACCACATGGCACTAATCACATCTGCCTTATCCTTATTATATGGTGGTTATAAAATCCCCAATTACTTATTTTTATTTTTACAAGTCAATTGTGTAGCAATAGGGAGGCAACCACTGCATTTTACACAGTGAAGAACATCTTATGCAATAAATCTCTCTCCTGGAAGGTTTGAAAAAGAATATTTGCATCTATGTTAACATATGACCATAAATCCTGGACAATTAGCGAGCAGGCCAAACTAATTTTTCAAGGCCTCAGGAATGTGGTTTTACAAAAATACTGTTTAAAATTCCTTGGTCTGCCAAAATGAGTTATCTAGATGTTTTGAAAGTGGTGAGGGACTGAAACATCATCATGTAGCAGGTCCTTTGCAGAACGTCGCTCTCATCACAGTCTGCCTGAAAGAAACTCGGTCTCTCGACAGTTCTCCCGCCTCATGTACTTTCATACTCAAGGAGTCACTTATATCCTGTGCCCATCTTCGTGTCGGTCGGCCCCTGCCCCACCTTTCTAGTACCATGCCTTCTGCTATAATTTTTTCCGTCGTGGCGCTTGATATGACCAAAATATTTCAGCTTCCGAGAAAGGATGCTGTTTATTAGCCAATCTTCCTTGATGTTCAGATCTTTTAAGATGCCAATATTTCTCCTCTTCTTTGTCCAAGATATTCTGAGAATCTTTCTATAGCATTTCAGCTCAAAAGCCCATATTCTCTTTCCTAAGGACTGACTGACTTTCTACCCCACTAGGACTAAGGACTGAGACTGACTGTCTACCCCACCAGGACATCACACAAGCGATAAACACCCGATGACACAAAGTGCCACCATGCGGATGAGGATCACCGTGGAGAGGTCCCAGAAACCGCGTTCAGACAATTGGCCATATTGATGGCCTGCCTATATTGCGGCCCCTGGCAAAAGCCAGAGTGGGGCTTCAAATAAGAAAAAATTACGTCCTGAAAAGGACGTAAGTAAGTAATATTACAATGCTAAGGACTGAGAGATAGTCCACGACTCACATTCGTAAGTAGCCACAGGGAAGATGCATGCTCTCAAAATTCTAATTTGTATCTCCTTGTTGGTGCTTAACCATAGACTTTAAAGGCCGTTTAACTGAAGCCAACTTTTCATAAACATATGAAAGAGACATTCATCATTTACTGGCACTGTTATGAGAAGAAAGCAACTTTTGCAATCGTGTAGTCTATGAAATCCTGTTTCATTTAAACTTCCAGGGGACTGAACTGCCCTGACAGTTTCAACCCCTACACCCTAGTTATGGCCCCTGATACTCAACAGGAAAAGGGGGGGGGGGGTATTTATTTCCCCAGCTGACACGTGTGGTCATTCTGCTGAGCAACAACCGACCTGGCCGCATCGAGATACCAGCTAAGTGATTTTGTGTATCTATGTAGTATTGTTTAATTTGTATGTGCTGATAAAGGCTCAATAGCCGCAACTTTCACGTGTATTTGTTATATTGTGAAGCTTACCAATATACTTTTCGTTTAGGTTTATATCATTTCATGAAATCTATTAGCCCTACGTAAGTTTCAGCCCTACACATGTGTCTGAGACATGAAACTAACCTCACAGCAGCATCCTGAGATATATTCACAGGCACGGGTTTAGTACAATCACTGGTAACAGAAGCAGCCTCTGCATCAACTGTGACCTGAGTGCAGGGGTTATCTGTCTTGTTCAAGTGAAGCTCTCGGAGATGTGGCAACATTATCACAGTCTCTTCACTGTTCGAGAACTCTTCGTCAGTGTCGGTGAAATGCAAACTACTTTCCACATCACTGCTGCCTGTAGACTGGCTTGAGGTGTTGTAAATGTCACCTAGAGAATAATCACTGCACTTGAGATGTCATAAATGTTACTGAGAAAATAATCACTGTGCTTAAAGTGTTGTAAATGTCCCACACACACACACAAATCAAGAGTATACTCGAGTGTCATAAGTGTCACCTAGAGAATTATTACTACAATAAATGTCAACCAGAAAATTCATCATGCATGCATGTATGTATGTATGAATGTATGTATGTATGTTTTGGGGTCGTTCAAAGCATCAGAAAGCTGGGGAAACCCAGTCTTACCACCCTCTAAAATGTTGGACTGTCCTGAGGCGTCATCTGGGATAGGATATTAATAAAGCACCAAATGTTCTACTCACTTTCTGGGCCACTGGAATCATCCGACTGCTCAATCTCATCAAGAATAGACAGGTCATCACCAGATTCCATCAGTACCTCATCACTCTGAGATCGTCTTAAAGGAGGTTGTCCCCCTTCAGGCTGACCCAGTAAAACATTATTACCGAAATTATCCCAGTGTTCTAAGCTTGGCGATTTGAAATCTGTGATGTTATCATCAACTTGTAATTCCTTTTGGCCACTAACTAGCTGATTTGGATCATCATTTTTACAGCAAGCAGGCCCAAAGGATTCTTTCGTTATACTGTTATTGCCACAAGCAATTTCAGATTGAGAGTTGCAACAACCATCAGGGAACTGATTTGGAAAAACATCTCTGGAAATTTGATCCGATGTAGCCAGGCTATCCAAAACTAGTTTTTTGTGATGATAATCACTATCATTATCAAATTCACGAGAATCACTGTTTAGGCTGGTGCTCAAGTTTTCTGTTGGCCTATCCAGATAGTTTTGATTTCCACTAATTTGATCTGTTAAACTCATATCTATTTCAATGCTGCAGGTTTTCACTTTGTCAGATGTCTTTGTGTCTCTTGGCCTATTCAGAATCTGTTTTTGAGACAAGTGCCTCAGATTGGTATCTTTTAACACATTAACAGTCTCATTTGTATTCTTTTCCGCTATTTCTATATTTTTTGAATGCTTTATATTTACTGAAATACTTTGATTTGACTTTTTATTTCTGATTTCCGGACTCCCTGCTGGTTGTTCCCCTTTGTAAGAGATTTTTGCTGGTGACAATTTTGGAATGGGAGGTAGCCTGCTATAAGCTGCGTCTGCTGACAGTGTGGATGAGTCAGTTATATGAGAAATCCCAATAATATGTTCATCATCACCTTTACTAACATTTCCCTGCACAGGCTGGGAGTCAGATATGTTTTCATTCAGATGAAAACTAATATGGCTATCAATACTTTTACGGTGAACAGCCTTTTTCAAAGACAAATGATCAGTAATATTAGAATGTGAGAGGGTTTCGAATGAAATGAAACCTGATGTCAGTGAATTGTTCTTCTCAAAGTTATAAATTTTACAAGATTGTTTCTCTTCTGCAGAATGGGTGCACTGTTTTTCATACACCCGCTGCAAAGAAGACACATCAGTAGATGCTTTATGTTCATTCTCAGTAATGCTTTCTGATAGTTCCATTATTTTATAGTTATCCTGAATGAATATTTCTTCAGAGTTATTTGCTCCTGAGTTGAAAACACTCACTTTATCTGAAAATTGTGAATTATTAGTTGAACTTTCAAGGCAGGCACTTTGTGTTTTGCTCTGTTTGGTTGTGTTTCTTGTTCCATCAGTTAATAATGAAGAAGCTACTCCTGCTTGTTCAAATAAAATGCAATCTTCATACACAGAATGAATATCTCCACAGCCAATCATGTTATCCTCCTTTGGATGAAAATAATTTGGCCCTGGAACATTATATTTCCAAGGACTTTCTTCCAGTGCTTCAAAGTTCAATCCTGCTTCTTGGAAAACCACATCAGAAAGTGGGCCTGACTGAGATTTTGCAGTAAAAGATGACTGAATTGTTGAAGTTACACTCGATGACTCTTTCAACTCAAGCTTTTTTCTGTGCCGTGATCTTCTCTGCTGATAAACAGCATTCATACGCTCCTTCAAGAAGGAGTAAGCCCAGCTTCTCTCTTCCTTTGGGTGTCCTTCAATAAAAATGTTAGCCCCTCCACTTTGGGAGAACTCACAGTTCTCTATAATGCCCACATTCATGTGCTGTAGTATGACAGATGAGTGCCGAAAGGAGCAAAACTTGATGAAAACTGTGCAAGGATTCCTGCAGCAGACAACTCCGTCCTCCAGAATGCAGTTGTCGATCTGGAGATACCCTGAGTTGACCTGCAAGAAACACATATATCTCATTTCAAAAGCAGTACAATCTATAAAGCTATACACAAAACACAACACATTACTGTAGCAATATCTAGGCAACCACTAGTATCAACAGCTATGAGACAGGGAAGATGGTGCTGCAATGGATAAGTTCTGACAAGAGACGAAAAGAAAATTCCCAAAATGGCATCGAAATGGAAAACAGAGGGAATGAGGAAACAAGAACGTGCAAGAGAAATCTTAAGGCAAATGTTAATGACAGAAACCAAAGGTACTGGCCTGAATTATTTCCATGATGTCGAAGTAATTGCACAGGATATAATTAAATAAGAATAAGACTGCAAGCCCTCTGTGACATATAATGGCACAACAGGACGATAAATAAATGAATGAATTATACAGCAGAATTTACAATTTACAAGCAGTTAATACGTTTCCTGTGTGGGTTCCCAGACGCCAATTTTAATTGGACCAAAAAAAAAAAAAATGAAAAAACCAGAACAGACCAACCGCACCCCTGACAAGCAAGTTTTAAAATGGTTAATTAAGAGTTTGAAGAAATTCGAGGTACTGGGCCAAAGGGTGAAGATATTATAAATCTGCTGTAACCACAATATAATCTGACTGACCACCCTTTTAAGGGCGAAAGCAGCAGCAGCACCAGCAGAAGAAGAAGATAAAGAAGAAGAAGAAGAATCAGAAGAAGAAAGAAGAAAAAAGGAGCAGGAGGAGGAGGGGAAGATGAAATTAATAGTAGAATAAATATCTTAAAATCTTTTAATAAGTATAGAAAAAAGATTAACATATAACAATTATTAATAACAATAGCTGAATAGGTTTTCTTTACAAACACAATAACAGCATACAGAATCACCAGAGAACTTACATTGATGATGAAACTTGTAAACCAGGGTGCTCTGAGCACCAAGCCAGTCAGTCTTGTTGAGGTAGACAGTTGTTTGATACCCATGTTCAGAATCACACTTCCCAACTCCCCATACCCCACCAACTCCAAGGGAACTTTGATCAAGACCTCCAGCTGCTCATCATAGATTCCAGGATGCATAACAATTCTATCGTAATCACTTGCAATGGACAGTGCTGCCTTCAAGCTTTCCTGGGGTAGACCTGGACCAACGTGGATGCTTCTTTGGAAGGTGCTTTTCTTAAATAGAGATGTGCATGTTACATTTTTGGTCTCTCTTTTCCTTCGGTGACTCCAAAACCTGGTGGAGGTGTACTGGTCTCGGTAAGCCAGTTGCCAGGAAGGAGGCTCTGTCTGGATGTTTAGAGGCCAGAATGGATGACGCCATTCACTGGAGAAAAAAAATAAGCAATGATTTTAATATTTCCTATCTACATTTGTCAATTCATCTTTTTTTTCTATTTAGCTATGCAGTTTTAAAGACGAACAGAAAAGCAGGCAGGAGAATATGTAGAAAGGTAGACAGCGCACCAGTAGATCGCGTGGAAAGTAAATAATATGTCATGGGACTTAATGTTTTGGGACATAATTTTTTTTTTTTTTTGGTCAATGTCTATGTCATCAAGATATTTCTTCATCTTCTTCGTGTTCACTTGCTGTAAACTCCAGCAGAAAGTTCTGGTTGTTCGCCCACTTCTGGACTTTTAGTCTTTTTCCAGAACCTGAGTGTTGCTTGTGCATCTATTTTACAGATCACGGTCACTGTTTTGAGTCGTGGCAAATTTTTTTCTTCTGCCAGACGGTGGCTGTTGCATTTTTGCTTCATTTGTAGACTGAAAGGATATAGTTTTGTCGCCCAGCTAATGAGCTGAGTGCATGGCACAACACTGTGAGCTGTGAATTTCTTTTGGAATGTTTTTCGACGGTGACCAATGTGGTATTGTGAATTGCGGATTTAGAAAATGGCGCGTGGCCTGTCGTTGCAATAGTGGTGGGGCCATTATGTGATTAAAATTGATCACGTATGCATCTGCTGATCTGTTGGTAACTTCTGCAACCATCGATGATGAACTGCATTTCTAATGTCGGACTGTTTGTGGTAGCACTTCTGATGGCTACCGTATGCTTTTAATCTGTGTGTATTCCAGTGCATATGCTGAGACAGCAGTAATCTTTCCACAAGGGACTGATGAACATTCTGTGTGTTTTTCGTTGGCACAGGAGCGGAGCAACTATGGAGTGACCTGTTTGCTATGAAGCTGAAACTAAGATTACCAAGATTTGTAAAAAAGGATTCCTCACCACGCAGTCTTATGTACTCCAACTTAAAAGGAAACACCTCTAATTAGTTTCTTTTTATGACATATTTATTAGGTGGCAGTGGGTCTATTCTCCCGCCAACAATGAGACCTCCCAACCCACATGGAGAACTCTAACAGTGACAAGTTTAACATCCTAAAGTTTCTTATTTCAGAAAAGGTCACGGGTGGTGAGCATACTTTGGATCTTTTCTCCAGGCAATGCCGGTGTGGTGGGTAATAAAAAGGCAGACAGATTGGCTAGATCCGCACCACTGGGTAGTGAATTGATACATGACAGGGCAGATGTGGTCAAGGCCCTTTAGGAACAAGCAACGGAATCAGTAGAGAAAGAAGATTATTATGGCCTGGAGAGAATGAGGCACCTGGGTGTAACCAGAGGGTATGGCCGGCTCACTACACTCAAAGTAAAGGCAAGACGGACATATAACCAGATTATGACCAATACCTTCAGTATTGGAACTCTGCACTGGCTGCTGAAGATGAGGATGGAGCATGCATGGGAATGACCTGAGTTCTGTGATGTCAATTCTTGGCTCAACTCAACTCTTATTTTAGTGTCAACGTCAACATTTTGTTTTTCTTGAAGTGAATGAACAGAATCATGCTCACCTACAACCAAGATAAAGTTCTTTCCATCGTGTCGAGTCAACACTAGCTACCAGTTCTGTCCACGTCTTGCAAACACAAGATACACGACAGAGGTCAGAAGCTGACAGCCATGACAGAATCAACTGCCAAAGTTCCCAGGGGAGACCACTCTTGTCACTTGGCAAGACCTGCATTTTAATATGACAAAAGTCTGTAAAAAAAACATTCCTTTTAAAAAGTCTGGTTGCTGAGTAGAGATGTTAGTAAAGATCCTTAAAAACTGTTCACCATTTTACTAAAAAGAAACAGTACAACATCCTTAGATTCTGTATTTTGCTCTCAGTATGGTAAATAGCTTCAATCCATGAGTATGTTATGGAGTCTGAATACTTGCTCAACTAAAAACAACTAAGGGAAACCGGAAACCTACGTTGCTGTCCCAATATGGGACACAATGTTTTGTTATTTTAAAGCCCCAATCCGGCTGTTGTTGGGGGTCCTAATATAAACTAATGGTTGAACAGGGTTTCTGGGACTTGCACCCATGCATTTATCATCTGAATGGTGGCACTTTGTGTCACCGCGTGTGTACTTCTCGTTGTGCGGTCCTGGTGGGGTTTGAACTTTATTCATTGATTCAACTAAGCGATGTTCAGAAAAGATTTTGATCCAACAGATTCTGCACTGGCCAGATAATATATTACACAAAGTATATGATAATAGTAGAGCAAAAGACTGAAACCAATTCAGACTTTATGCCGGATTTGTGGAATATGAAAAGGCCTTTGGCAGTACTGAAAGGACATCTGTTTTGAAGACTGAGGAGGTATTATGGGACCTTTGGAAGCACTGAATGGACATCTCTGATATTACATGACCTTTGGAAGCACTGAATGGACATCTCTGATATTACATGACCTTTGGAAGCACTGAATGGACATCTCTGATATTACATGACCTTTGGAAGCACTGAATGGACATCTCTGATATTACATGACCTTTGGAAGCACTGAATGGACATCTCTGATATTACATGACCTTTGGAAGCACTGAATGGACATCTCTGATATTACATGACCTTTGGAAGCACTGAATGGACATCTCTGATATTACATGACCTTTGGAAGCACTGAATGGACATCTCTGATATTACATGACCTTTGGAAGCACTGAATGGACATCTCTGATATTACATGACCTTTGGAAGCACTGAATGGACATCTCTGATATTACATGACCTTTGGTAGCACTGAATGGACATCTCTGATATTACATGACCTTTGGCAGCACTGACAGGATATATCTTTTGAAGACTGATGAGGAATTATGAGATCCCCAAGAAAATCATTAACTTAATAATGGTCACATATAAAGAGATGAAATGCACTTTTCAGCATGAATAAAGACTAATAGATACAAACCAAATGAGAAACAGATTGCAATTTAGATCAGTGGTAAAAAAGTGGAGACAGCTTTTAGTACTAGACGAGCAACATCTCTTGTGGGCAATAACTCGCTGAACAGTACTGTCTCAGTACATCCCTTACTATTCCTCATCATCATCGACATCATGCTGAGGTACATCATATCAATCTGCCACAGCCAGTGTGTGCTGGTTTAGCATAAATGTCCATCTGATACATGTCCTATGGCTCAGAAACAAAAGTCCCAAATGTCTGACCAAAAAAAAAAAAAAAGACCTGATAATTGGCAAAAAGGTTCACATGCCTGTGGCAGAGTGTGTGATTTAAAAGGGGTAGCAATGCTGGATGCATGCTTTTGCCCTACTGTCTCGTTAAGTTTCCAGATGAAACAACGTTAAAAGTTGTTCTGAACAAAAATGTACCTATTTGTGTGGCCATCAAAAGTCCTCGACTTGAGGGATGCTCACTGCTGATCTCCGGAGGGCGCAGCTCACGACGATTGAAAAGCTTAATGTACGGATTAAGCCGTCATGTGCGGGATGTGACGATTCCTTGGGCGAGCCCAGGACCAGAGCACTATGCGTCAGCTCTGCATTTATGGAAGCTTCCTTGGATGGCGGCGGGGAATGCCCATGATCTGCCCCTGCCTTCCCTTGAGGGCTGACTTGTCTATATGCAGATGCCCTGAACAGTGTCTCCAGAGGCAACACCTGTAAATGAGGGGACAGAGAGAACTCCACACAGATAAGGCCACAACATGTACCTGCCCCACTAAACTATTCGGAAAGTTAACCGGGTCAACAAATGCTTGATAAAGTTGGATGTTTCGGCCAAAAAGCACAAATACTGCAGACCTGCTGTAAACAGGCACAAAACATTTATGTCACTTGGATGAACGAAAAGAAAATGAAAAATTAAATTTTCAAAGAAGTTCAATTTTCTGGACTTCTCTTAAAATAGCCCACTTCTGTCCCACACAAGGAATCGGATGCAAGGTAAATACACTTGATGGGAAGTTATAACATGCAGAAAAGGAGGAGCAGGAAGAAACGGCTGAGGATGAAAAGAAAACGAAAAAAAAAGGAGAAGAAGAATAAGAAAAAAAATAATGAAGAAGAAGAAAAGGAGGAGGAGGAAGAAGAAGAATAGGAAGAAGAAGAAGAAGAAGAAGAAGAAGAAGAAGAAGAAGAAGAAGAAGAAGAAGAAGAAGAAGAAAAGGAAGAGGAAGAAGACGAAGAAGAGGAAGAAGAAGAAGAAGTAAAGAAAGAAGAAGAAGAAGAAGTAAAGAAAGAAGAAGAAGAAGAAGAAGAAGAAGAAGAATAAGAAGAAGAAGAAGAAGAAGAAGAAGAAATGGAAGAAGAAGAAGAAGAAGAAGAAGAAGAAGAAGAATAAGAAGAATAAAAAGAAGAAGAAGAAGAAGAAGACCTTTCAGAACCTATACACAGTAAGCACAAATGGCAGACAATAAAACAGGTAAATATTTACAAACCCTTTCACAGAAGGAAACTAAAAATGTTTAATAAAAACAAGAAGTTGAAGAAATGTAGCAATGAGCGGACAGATTTGGTGTAAGATGACTGAGTGCATATACGTGTGCATGAAACACACAAACAGCAGAATATGCAAGAAATACAAGTACCTTGTTATTAACAGCCTCTGTTACTATATTTGATGCAGACATTATTTTGTTCGCAAGAATGCTCTCCTCTTTGCTAGGTTAGCCAGCCTGCACTTAATTTCCATAGTAAAATTTCGAAAGCCCAGGACTAAGTCTCTTCTGAAATCCAATTATTAAATGACTTGATGAAGGTTTGACAAACTATTTAAATATCTGAATGGGACAATATCCTGATGACAGCAGCCATGGTGTAGTGGCTAGCTGCGGATCTGTGGGTAATGGGTTCAAGTCCCGACAAAGCCGGAATTTCTTTTCAAAAGTAACCTTAGCGTTCAGGTCAACCCAGCCTTAAATGGGCGCCAGGTAGACTCCTGGGAAGTAAAGGCAGCTGGCTTCATGTTGATCACATGATCCACCAAGTGCCGACTGGTCTATAAAATATAGGCATGGAAAAGGGTCTTTTGACTTTACAATATTCTGACAGCAGATATTCTGAGAGGGTTTGCGGGAGATTATTAATTAACAAATATATGCTGACTCAGTCATCATTAAATCCTCCTTCTAGGGTTAACCCTATCTAATTCTTCTTCTTTTTCTTCTGTGCTCACCATTAAAAAAAGCTGTTGGCCTGTTTTTTTTAAAGTTTACATCTAAGTTATTATATCTGTGCCTTTGGGCCCAAAACATCTCATTTCTGCAAACCATTAATTAGTCACTTTTTATGACAAGCTTGTTACAGGGATATTTCAGTGAAATTTGACTAAAAAGCCTAAAAAACAACACAAATAATGTTTCAGCCTGGCAGCCTTTGTCAGACATAAAGTGAACTACACAAATGTAACAAAGAGGAGAGTATTTGGATCTCTAAAGGTTGACGTTTATAAAAAATGTTGCGTTATTATTTGTGTTGTTTTGTGTACGTTTTTCTGCTTCCCCATTTTTGTTAAGCTTTTTAGTCACATTTCACTGGAATTCCTTGTATTAGCTTGACTGCAGTCACCCCCATATTTTCACCATTTGTTAGAGGGGTAGAGGATCTGTTCTTTTTCCCTCCTCCAAAACACAAGATATCATCTAATAAAATAAGCGATTATTATCATCATCATCATCGAGTGTATGGCAGACTGGCAGGAGCAAGCATACTTCTCAGGAACTGATCTCTAACTGCATGTGTGCTGACATCTTTCAATTTCAAAACAAAAGGCAGTGAAGAATCTTTTCCTACTGTCTTGACTCATCTCTGTCCAATCACCATAACATGTCTAACTGTTCTCTTTTCACAACTAAAGAAGGAAGAAAAAAAGTTAGTTGTGTATCCTTTACAGGACAGTGTAGAACCAAACCAGCACAAGGGTAGTAACTCATAAGTGCTCCTTTCTACTTCTAACCCGAGCATAAGTCCGAAGAATCTCAGTGCAGTGCATGAACTCTGTAGCACCAGCATGTTTTGGCCATTGTGGATTTTCTTAGCAAATTTACAATCTAATAGTTTGCCTTTGCACTTCTGAATGGTAGGCTCTCAGATCGAACATGGCACCCCGATATTATGAAGCCATCTAGTTTAGCCCCACTCCACGCCGTGTGTAGCGGTACAGGAGATCCTCACGGTGGTGGCGGTAGTTGCCAGAAGTCTGCAATTTACATGTGACTGAGGCCCTGTTAGGGTATATTTTCAGCCTCGATAATTTGGGACCGTTATTCGGAGGATAGCCCAAGAATCTATATAATACATTCCAAGGCTCTCACCCAATGCCTCTTCAAATCTTGGAGCGAAAAATAGAACAGGACTAGAGAAGAAGAAGAATAGGAAAAAGAAGAAGAAGAATGTACAACTTTTTAGTACGATGCAGGACAGGAGGGTCTGTAGCTTGAAGATTAAGGTCACGTGGCTAGTGCAGTTGCCATGTACTATGTAGGTTATGTATGCGACTATGACTTTAATTTTTCCTCTGAAAGAACACAAAATAATTCACCTTACCGAGGATTTGAGCCTATTTTACATGTGGCCAACACTTGATCACAGAACATTGTTACTAACAATGTTAGCCAAAATTTTCAAGTTCATGTGGGGAATAAGTTATTCAATAACAATTCATGTTAACTGGGGACTAATTAATATTACACTTCACATCGCTAGCCTTCTTCTTCTTCTCATAGTCCATGCCCTGTGGCATTGGTAGTCATGTCTACCCACAATCTGCTGCTTCGCGTACTTTCAATAAATTCTGACACAGATGATCTTCCATGCCAAAATGGCATGGTGTCCAACAGCTTTCCTTAGCCCGGGACCAACAAAATTATTTTATTAATTAAAAAAATTATAAATTGTGTCATGCTTTTAAGCTTAAATTAGTTAGTTAGTCAGTTGGGCTATCACCATTGCACTCCGGACATGTCAATAGGTGCTCAGATCCTCCCCTCAGTAAGGGCTGCATTAACACAGTCGATAAGAGGCTCAGTTTCAAATACAGCTGCGACTCACTACAGCCCACGGTCGGTGTACGAAACCAGGCGGTTCCCAGGGGTCACCTAGCCTCTAGGAAATGGGTACCAGAGTTAAAACTCTTGGGTAAATGGAGGAACGTCGCTGTAGCTACAAAGTTACGTGCGGACGGCGACACAGGCGGACAATTCTTATCAGCTGTCCGTACTGGTGGCAGTGCTCTTATGGTTTATAACCGTGGACAATGACGCTGATTCACATCTCCCGACTTTACCTTTACCCTCCTCTCAGTATGAACCCCAAGGTCCGAAGTCTTCTGGTGTGTCTGGTGTGCGTCTTGTTTTTTGCTATGCCGATCTTAATTCCCAAGCCTACCATTCTGGCGAGTGATGTGGATTCACTACCACTCTATTCTTCCCATCTCTCTGAGGGCATTAATAAATTCAGCATGATTCATAGGCTGACCGTCAGTAGTGATAGCGGATCCAGCCAACCTATCAGCTCTTTCATTTCCATCGACGCCTGATTGTCCTTAAACAAAAATAAAGGTGACTCCACGCACAGTGGACTTTAATGATCCAAGCCGTTGTCTTCGCACCGAATCCTGCCTGAACGGGAACCCTCCGGATCATACTCAATGATACTCATTGAATCACTTTTAAGCATAAGTATGCCTGTAAAGTGTATATCATCTCTCCGTCTTTATTTTAGTCTGATACCATGTTCAGAGTCTAGTATCACTAAACCTCCGACACTTTTATTTATCTCACCTTCAAGAATATTATATTTATTATTGTAAGTTATCAAATTCGCCTCAATGCGCCATCTTGATCTCCAATATAAACAAAAACACCTTTACGGCCATCTCAGTTTACCGTAAAGTGCCAGTGATCACCGGGGAAAAACGGAGTTAATTCTGACATTCGGCGCGGCGACAAAATATTAGCTGGTGTGGTCTAAGTTTTTTCGTCCATCAGAAGCTAAGTTAAAGTATGGGTTGATTTATAAGCACAAGATGGGCCCGAAAGGATATAGGACAGTGAGAGCTGGAACAGTGTTTATAGATGAAGGGCTGTTATCGTTATAGTGGTCTTTTTAGACTGTCTTCGATGTTCAGCTGTCCTTTTTCATTTTCTAGATAGCTCGCAAGCCGTCGCACCTCTTGGATTCGACGTTTGCCATATAGTCCGGTCTTGTGCAGAAGTCTTCCAAGTGTAAGAGTTTAATTTAAAGGCTTTAGGTGATGCATATTACCTGTTATTACAGCGTTGTTTTTCCTGTACTCCATGAAAGCGTCTACCGTCTTATATTTCGGGGGCCGCGTTAGCGCAGTCGAGACTGACTCGCTTTCAAATCCAGCTGCGACTCGCTGCAGCCCACGGCCGGTGTTCGAAACCGTGTAGTTCCCGGGGTTCACCTGGCCACTAGAAAATGGGTACCAGAGTTGACACTCTGGGGTTAATGGAAGAGCGTCGCTGTAGCTACGGAGTTACGTGCGGACGGCGACACAGGCGGACAATTTCTTATCAGCTGTCCGTACTTGTGGCAGAGCACTTATGGTTTATATCCATGAGCAATGACACTGGTTCATATCTCCCGACTTTACCTTTAACTTTTTTTTCTTATATCTCACCATAAAAGATTATTTTTGGGAGCCAATGGTTTGGAAAGCGGACTAGATGACCTGCCAATCGAATATGTAACTGCATCAAGTTGGTGTCATTGCTGGGAATACCAGCTCTTTCCAGCACAACTCTATCTTGCCACTTGATGCTCAGTACCTTTCTCAGACAGACTATATGGGAGTGGTCTAACTTCTTTGGATGACGTATGTACACAGCCCATATTTCACAAGCAATTGATAGCAAAATCAACTCCTGCTTCTGCCTTTCTTCACCCCCCTCCCCCAAGACTGTGTAACCTGCACCCTCTTCATACAGTTGTCCCCTGCCTGCAAGCCTTGTTTCGCTAAGTGCTGCCACGCCAGTGTTGTAATCTGGCAAATTCTCTACTCAATTGGACCAGAACGCGCCTCTCAATTATGATTGTTTTCTCGTTATCAAACCTAGTTAGTACGCACATTCCAAGAAGGTGTCTAGGTCGTGACGGAGCAGATAATGTTTGGGGTACCTTTTCTAGTCCCTTTCCTAATGCCATTGAAGTAAGCAGGGCTACGATGTGGATTCTTAATTCAACGTTCATACGTCACATTTGGCTTACAGTTTATTCCCCTATTCTGTTATGTCTGTAGCAGTCTTTTCGATTTCGTAGGTGGAATTCAGTCTGTCACCTTTATCATCTCTCCTCAACGTTCTACTAAGAATTTCTCTTGGACATCCTTAATTTCATTAACACCTAAAATCTTTTTATCATACTCCGCTGCTATGAAGAAAAACATTGGTAGAAGTATAAGTACTAATTACTGTAATGACAGCAGTAGCAGCAGCTGCTGCAATTATAATAGTAACAGCAGCAATAGTGGTAGCAGCAGCAGTAGTCATTGTAATAGTAGTAGTAGTAGTAGTAGTAGTAGTAGTACTAGCAATAATAGTATTAATAGTACAAGCAATAGTAGTAGTAATAGCAACATCAGTAGTGATAGAAGTAACCGTGTTTGTAGTAGCAGGCGGCAGTAGCAGTATAAGTAAGTAAAGATCCCTTTTCACGTCTTTGGGTGCATCGGGCATACGGGAAGAGCACTCATATTTTTATAGACCAATCGGCACTAGGTGGGTAATGTGGTCAGTATTACGCCGGCGGTCTTTACTTCCCCTGGACATACATCCTGGTACCAATTTTAGGCTGGATCGACCTGCAATGCCCTATACCTTGATACAAATCCACGCAGCCAGCAGTGGGTTTCAATAGCGGTATGCTGGAATTACGAGTCGGACTCGCAACACCTAAGCCATGGACCCCGCTGCAGTATAAGTCATTATTGGAATAAAACTAGCAATAGGAATAGTAAGAGTAATATAGCAACAACAGCAAAATGTATTACGTGCAACATTAGCAACAGCAGTAACAGGGGCATCTAAAAATTTGAACAATTCATGTGGAAGAAACTCCCTGGCAGTTAAGGAATCTTAAGGTAATTAATTGGTGTCATCCCTGTGTGGGTTTTGGTCTCCCATTTTGGGAAAAACAAGAAAAGACCTACTGCTCCCTTATATCTCACCTGCACAGTTGTGGCGACAGCACTAGCCATGTGGCCATAAATCCTCAGGCTCAAAGACCCCCCTGCCTGCACCGCATATGTGGTATAACAAAAGCAGTAATTGGCAGTTGGTCCCCTTTTAAACAAGCCGTACAAGGCGACTAGAGATGTTTCCTTTGATGTCAGAGTGCATCTGCCTGACAGGCAAGGAACCAACAGTCTGCATACAAAATAAGCCAGATCTGTTAAATGGATGTACATGCAAAACTCAGATTCTAGAACAAGACTAAAGTCCAGAAGTGGACGACCACCCAGATCTTTTTACCAGAGTTACAGCCAGTGGATGCGATGAGTCATGAGATGAGAAGGAGAAAACTGGCCTACATTGTGACGATGGGAAAGTTGGAGGGGAGGAGAAGCAGAGGGTGACTGAGAGAACAAATGTTGGACAGTCTGACATCATGGCATGGAATATCAACTGTGTCAGAGTTGATTGAAAGTACTTGAGGCAGAAGGTTGTGGATAGACATGACTACCAACACCACACGGCATGGACTTTAAGAAGAAGGATGCGAAGAATAAGAAAAGATTGGTAGTTAAATTTTAAGCTTGTATCAATCATCATGTAGCAGGTCCTTTGCAGAACGTAGCTCTCATCACAGTCTACCTGAAAGAAACTCGATCTCTCACCAGCTCTCCCGCCTCATGTACTTTCATACTCAAGGAGTCACTTATATCCTGTGCCCATTTTCGTGTCGGTCGGCACCTTTCCGTCCTTCCTGGTACCATGCCTTCTGCTATTTTTTTTCCAATCCGTCGTGGCGCTTGATATGACCAAAATATTTCAGCTTTCGAGAAAGGATGCTGTTTATTAGCCAATCTTCCTTGATGTTCAGATCTTTCAAGATGTCAGTATTTCTCCTCTTCTTTATCCAAGATATTCTGAGAATCTTTCTATAGCATTTCAGCTCAAAAGCCCCTATTATTTTTTTTAAGGACTGGGGGATAGTCCACGACTCATATTCGTATGTTGCTACAGGGAAGATGAATGCTCTCAAAATTATAATTTTGATCTCGTTGCTGGTGCTTAACCATAGACTTTTAATGCTGTTTAATCTCCAAGATAAGATTGTATAGTGTTAAAAAAAAAGTGCTGTTTAACACTGTATTTGGTTAAGCAATTTGCCCAATGTTTTGTAGATTGCATGTTCAGTTTTGAATCTACTATTTGGTTCTTGGGTTTTTTGTTTTCTTTTTCTTTCAAAAAGATTCCTGAGGGCCATCATAGGAACTAAGGAGTTTCATGCTTTGTGCATCTCTATCACTGGCAACAAGAACTATATGCAGAGACCAAGTCATTTGTGAAAATAATAAATCTTGTCAACTATATTTTAGATTTCTGAATTACCTATTATTGTTGAGTTGAGAATCTGAATTTTCAGGAGCTACATAAATCCTATCCTAATATACAGAAGTGAAGTATGGATAGTTCGCTGATTAGTTCAAGATTATGGGGAAGTGGTGGAGATGCAGTTTTGTAGATAAATGATGAGAATACTCTGGACAGATAAAACGAGCAATGAAGATGTGTCAGAAGAAACTGACTCATAAAGAGAACTGATTGCCCACATCAGAAAAAGATGATCTACAACATTTGGTTCTGTCATGAAAAGGAGAAAACTGGAGTACTTCATGATGGTGGGAAAGTTATAAGGAAAAAAGAGGCAGAGGGAGACCAAGAGAGAAGATGCTGGGCAGTTTAACAAACTAGAAGATCATCCATGTCAGAACTGATCGAAAGTAAATGAGGCAGAAGGTTGTGGATAGACATGATTACTAATGCCACACGGAATGGACTATAGAAAAAATATCACTTACCTAAATGGCGTAAGTGTTGCCAAAGAAAATATAAGTGTGAATTGATCAATACGGTGTGGAAAGAATGGTTTAGTGGGGAGTGACCAGGAAGTCTGGCCAACATCAAAGTTCAGAGGAAGACAGGAGGGATATATGATCAAACTGCTGAAAGTACCAAAAGAACTGCAACTCTTTGCCAGTTGCTGGAGCTGGAGTGGTGTCCCTTCCTTGACTCAACTTAATGCAGAAAGTAACAATTACCATATGTTAGTCTTCACAACCTATTTATTAGCAAGATTTCTGTTTGTCAATGAATAATAAAATGCCCTATAGGTTACAAATATGTATGTAAATAATGTATGTATATATTAACACCAAATAAATATGGAACAGTATTTTATAACTATATGAATATTATTCAATTACATTTATTGATCTAGTCATCCCCATGTGGGATGCAATTTTTTGTTATTTGAAGCCCCACCCTGGCTATTGCCGGGGGCCCTAAGTATAGCCAGGCAATAAATATGGCCTAAACAGCTAAACAGGGTTTCCGGGACCTCTTCACGGGTGATCCTCATCCGCATGGTGGTACTTTGTGTCACCGGGTGTTTATTGCTTGCATGATGTCCTGGTGGGGTACAATTTACTTACTTACTACTTACTAACGTTTAATAACCACACATTCATGCACAGACACGTCATGATGAAGTGCCATCTCTGCACTGATGGTTATCTGTACTGAGCCTGTTACAGACTTTATCAAGTCAAATTCTGGCTGTTGTTTATCGACAGCTCTCAATGTTGTCTTTAAACACTTTTTCCTTTTATTTTTCCCACCATATCCTCATCAAGGCCTTGCCGACTAGCATGCGTGATCATGCCTCTCCACAATCTGCAATCTTCAAAGGCATGCATCAGTTCCGTACGGATACCCCTCCATGCAACGACAAAATGCTGTCTAGAATTTACTTTCTCTACAGGTGTGCTGATGGTCAGATACCACCTGCTTCCTACCGGAATAGATGATTCCATAAAAACCCCTATTAACATCGCTGTCTGAAAAAGAATACAATTAGTTAAAAAGCATGATTTACTAAAGAAAATACAGCGGTGATCTCCCATTGCCTTCCACTGGTTTTTGTGTTCCATCCATATATTAAATAAATTAAACAAACTGCACAAATAATAGGAAGCACAAAAGATGCTGTAAATTACATAAAAAAGTAAAGTAAAGGACCCTTTTCCACACCAGCCGCCTTTACTTCCCGGGACTGCACCCGGTACCCACTCAAGGCTAGGTCGACCTGGGAGCCAAGGACATTTTTTAAGAAGTCTGGCTCCGCCAGGGAGCGAACCCACGATCTTCTGATCCGCGGCGCACATCTAGCCGCTCGGCTGCGACGTCTCCCCGTAAATTACATACAAAGTAAAGATTATTACAAGATCAAAACAGTTTCACACGTAATTCCTTATGTTGTTTTAGGATTTACCAAAGCTAGTCATTTTTCAACATTCAAATCACAAATATGTTAACAACTTTGCTGTCTCAGTTCCTTATCTGCCCAGAGAAAGCCGTTTTTCTGGCTTTAATGGGTTTTGGTTGACGTCATGTCTTTAGACAGTGCTCAGATTGCCCGTATGACAGCTCTGGTATTTGCTGCAACTGTAGTGTTTAGATATGGTGGATATGATTATATGTACAACATTTTTTTCAAATTATGTATTATTCTATATAATTTTTGGGGTGAAAAAGACTTTAAAATTGTGACGTATTATAATTTTACTACTATGTCACATTGCTATTTATGGCAAAGTGATCAAAACCACTTTTAAATGGTCAAAAGAAAGGAAATCAGTTATTTGTTTGCTCTGTCTGTATTTAGTGATTACTTCCAAGTAGGGATAAACTTTTTTTTTTTTTTTATATGAATGGACAAATTATATTTCTGTGGTGCAATGTTCATGAATATGATCACTATTTGTTTTTTAAACAGAAAATATGTAAACTGTTTTCTCATGTAAAATAGAAACAAAAAAACCACGCTTAGTTTATACTGTTCTGTAACCAGATTTTTAAAAATTTACACACTCTTTAATTTATAAATGCTATGTCACATTAATGCACGCCTATCTAATTTGAACAAATAAATGAAGCAAACTGAAGGTTAAAACTGAGAAGTCATTTGGCTTAGAGATTGACTATTATGTGTTGTTTGGGCTGTCATAGATTTGGCAAGAGATTTCATACTATCTGCCAGATTGGAAAACTGCTCCCACTTTTGGCTGTGCTGTGTAAGCTCTAGACTCTTCCGCAGATCTAAACTTCTCAATCTGGCCTCCATATCGTCTGCGGTTGCCATCAAGGATAAAATTTCTCTGTCTTTTTCTTCAAGCTATGAAATAAAAACAAACAAATGATAAAAGTATGAGTAACTGGACAATCATAGAGATCATACACTTCTCCTCTCTTTTTCTTCTTAGCATTCACCATTTGTAAATCCTGGCAGTGAAATCTGGTTGTTCATCCACTTCCGGACTTAGCTCTTGTTCCAGAACTTGAGTTCTGCATGCACCTCTGTTTTACAAATCTGACACTTACTTGTATGCAGACTGGTGGTTCCTCACCTCTCGGACAAATGCACACTAGCTTCGAAAGAAACACCCCTAACTATTTGCCTCCTATGTTATGCCTGGGAGCCGCCATAGTTTGGTGGCTACACCCTCGCCTGCAGATCTGAAGGTTAGTGGTTCAAAATTGAATGTAGCTGAACTTTATTTAAAAAAAAAAAAAGACGTGGCTTCCAGGTTGACCCAGATTTAAATGGGTACCAGGTAAAATCCTGACCATATCGCTCACTGAGTGCTGATTGATCTATAAAATATAGGTCTACTACTATATGCCCAAAGGTCTGGAGAAGGGTCCTTTATTACTATATGATATCTTAGGTGTCAGCAGTGGGTCTATTCTTAGCCCCCCCTGGACGCCCCATAAAGTTTTTTTTTTCTACTACACCACTACCTGGAAGTGTGACATCTCTGCGACCTGAAGAGTTGCATCTTAAAAGTTAATCCAACAGAACAAAGCCCATATGCGCCATTCAACCTTCTAAGAAATTATAATTAGCACACACATAACAGCATCAATAGAATTACTCAGTACAGTGTTCTTCAAACTGTGGGCAATGGAAAAGTCAAGGTGGGATGCCACAAATCATGCAGCGGGGTAGGATAGGTAGTTTACCTCTTCCAGGAAAGCAGTCTATAGGATCATCACCTCAAGGATGAGAATAAAGCCGGTTCAAATCCCAGACATCTTGTTCAACCGTAAAACAAAGTTATATTAAGGCATCTGACGGTTACGTTACCTGGGCATAAGGGCAAAAACTCCTGTGGCAGCCATATAATTACGGCACCAAAATGCATCAGACATGTGAATAAGATTTTCTAAGCTCTAAGTATCAGCAGATGTCGCATGAGATGAAACTTGTAATTTTGTGGTTTAACAAATAACCTGCTTTCTAAAATTTGTTTCTGTGTTTGGTCAGCTGTCATGTGGGCCGTGAAAGAATTTCCCCTGTTTTGGTGGGCCGCTAGTGTAGAAATGTTGAAGAACACTGACTCAGTGTACCCTACTGTCCTTGGCAGGTCTCGATTCTATTCTTTTCTTCTTCTTTGGGTGCTGAATGCTGAATTAAAAATCAACATCATAGCACTTGGGACACTCCCATAAGCGCTCCGTTCCCATCTTCAGCAGCAAGCAAAGCGGTATAATGCGAATGGAGCCAGTAACTGTCTGACTGTATTCCCGGCTCACCTTTTCCCTGACTATTGAGCATCATCCAGATCTCTGTGGTAACGCCATTCTTAATCAGACTGTAATGATCTATTTGTGACTCCACACTGTTCACTTGCTCCCAAAGGGAGCCTAACTCCAGCTAGCTTGTCATACATCAGTTCACCAAAACAACCACTTTGGTTGTTTTAAAGATTTAATGAAATAAAGATGTCTTGAATCAAAAGAACTGACTGCCCACATCAAAAGGAGACAATCTACACTATTTGGTCACGTCTTGAGAAAAAGAAAACTAGAGTAAATCAGGTTGTGAGAAAACTGAAGGGGAAAAGACGCAGACGAAGAACAAGACAGAAGATGCTAGACAGTTTGATACCATGACAAGATCATCTACGTCAAAACTGACTGAAAGTACCCAAGACAGAAGGTTGTGGATAGACATGACTACCAATGCCACACGGCATGGAAGATCATCTACATCAGAATTGACTGAAGGAACACAAGACAGAAGGTCATGGATAGACATGACTACCAATGCCACACGACATGGAAGATCATCTACATCAGAATTGACTGAAGGTACACAAGACAGAAGGTTGTGGATAGACATGACTACCAATGCCACACGGCATGGAAGATCATCCACATCAGAATTGACTGAAGGTACACAAGACAGAAGGTTGTGGATAGACATGACTACCAATGCCACATGGCATGGACTGACTTCAAGAAGAAGAAGAAGATGGTTGTTTATACGTCAACAGTTCTGGCCGTTGTTGTTCAAACTTCAATATTTATCAGCCATTTTTTTTTTCTGGAAGCTCAGATTTGATAGAATGTCAGTATTTTTCTTCTTCTTAATTCTTGATACACTGAAAATTGTTTTATGACATTATAAATTCAAAATCCTAATTTTTATACTTTAGTGATTGTCCTTTATTAAATTCTTTGATTATACAAAAAAATATATATATAAAATTTAAGGCAAACAAACTTGAGGGTCACATATTAAACAACATTTTACACAAGTTAAAAGTTGAAGTAACACATTAATTATAATTTCTAACCTTTCTTTGAAGTTCTGCAACATGATCAACAAGCAGAATCTTCTCCTTGCGTAATTGAGAATTCTCTATGTTTGCAGTATTCTCCATTCCGTCCAGCTCTAGAGCATGTTTTTTCATTGCGTTGATCTGTAGTTTGTAGTCTTTGGAGGCAGCTTCTTCAGCCTTCAACTGTCGAGAGTATAACAATACTGGAATGGCAGAAGGTACAATGTATAGCATGGATAATGCACATTAGTCCTTTATTTCTTACTATTTACTAACCCAGTCGACCTTTTTCTACCTTTGGATCTTGAGGTTTGCTAGAGAGATCGGCAGACTTGTCTTTCTGCAGTTTCCTTTCTGGCTTTGTTTCATTCCAGTCCTCTGTCAGTCAGGGACTGCTGGATGTTGTCTTCCCAGCGGACTCTGGGTCGCCCTGGTGGTCTGGTTCCCTGGTTCTTGGCCTACCATGCCTGCCATGGTGGTTGATTCTCACTGATTCAGCATATATGTCCAAACTATCATAACTGTGACTGACCCACTCAAGTTTTAAGGTCTGGATTTCAATATCCTGACGTATCATATGACTGCAAACTATGTCTTTTCTTGTCACCTGGACCATCTTTCTTAGATATCTCATTTTTGAAGCTGGCTTCTGCGAGTGTTGTCATTGACCATGACTTACATTCGTAGGTCAGGACTGTCACTAGGTAGAGTGGTAAACAGCCATTTTCATCCTCTTGTCAGTTTCACTTTTCATGTCAAGTGAATGTTCTTCTTAAGCGAGTTCATGTTAATGAGGTTTTTGCTGTAATAAACTTCTCATGGAACAATCAGCAGAGGTACTTTTGAGTGGCTGCTGTAACAGAAGACTAAGCATGCATGGGAATGCCCGATGTGCAGTGACATCAAGTGTGATTACATAATATAATGTATGCAGTTTGACACATATACAATATTGTAAATTAAAAATAAAGCTATGCTAAAGAAGTTTTTTAGAGGTTAAATCTGTTTTTAAAAAAAAAACACCCAACAACAACAAAGTCAACCATTATACACACTGGTCATTATCATCATCAAGTGACATGCCAACTAGCATCTGATACCATGCATATCCAAATCTATCACAACAGTTTCTGTGGTGATGTGGTCAAGCTATCTGCCTTAAGTTCTGAAGGTCGTGGATTATTTTCATGCATTGCTCAGATTGCTCAGTTAATGGGTGCATTTTTTTAGAGCTTTGCTGGAATCGGAGCTACAGAGTTCTTGCTTTAAGCTCCTTGTCTGGGTTCTAGTGCTCCTTTGTGGATTTAAAAAAAAAACAAAAAACAGACCCACTGCCTCCCTAACAAGCATCACCATTTAACAAGAAGGGACCAGGTCACCATCTTCAGACTCAGAACAAAACATACTCCACTCAATGGACACCTAAACAGAATACAGCCACAACACTCTCCAGAGTGCCAGCTGCAGTAACTACCCCTACGAAACTGTTGACCATCATCTCTTTGAGTGCCCAAAACTCAACGAGACTAGAAGAATGCTACTCCCTGCGAGACCAGACAAGTGGAACACCTTGTACGGAGGGAAAGAAAAGCTTGTGAAAACATGTAAATTCCACTACATGGCATTGGGCAAAGGGCGAAAGCTCATGCGCCACTGGATCAAAAAACAAAAACAACAACAGCAACAACAACAGCAACAACAAGCATGTTGTTCATCCTCATCATCACCACATGCCCTGCTGACTGGCATAGGCATCCATGCATCTCTATAGATCTCAGTCTCTTGTCATCCCTTGCCTTGTTCCACCGATGATATCCCTCAATGTGACCATTGCAATTCATCCGTCATCTTCCTTCTTGGTCTACCTTTTCTCCTTCTACCATTAATCTTCCCAGTCGTCACAATATTCTCCAAGTTCTATTTTGTTTGTTTGTATTTTTCACCCATAATGTTGGAAAACATGACGAATGCCTCTTTCTGGGGATTCTGATAAGCTGTCTTGGCATCTTAGCCTCTTTTAAAAACAATGAGATTCCCCATTTGCCCAAAAGTGGAAATAACAATAACAAAACCACAAGTGAATTATTTTTGCAAGAGCAAACATCACCTTCTTCTTTTTTATTTCTTCACACCTGGGATGCCTCACAGTGTCAGGGCAGGAAGACATACGGAACGGGCCTTTCGTTCGCCTCATATAAAGTACTTTTCAGTTCTCTGATATCTCCGCAGTCCATATTCTGCGTGATTGACCTCTGGTTCTTTTAGCACTACATCTGTATAACACTACATCTGTATAACACTGCTCTCTGTTTTCAGTCTTGTTACTTGACCAAACCATTTGATCTGTTGTCTACATATGAAGTTCAGTATTGGTTCTGTGGCGACTCACCTCCTGATATCATTCCTATATCAGTCTTTCTTCGTTACACCTTGCATAAAAGATAAACATTTTATGTCTGTTGTGACTATTTTCTTCTGTCATCTGAAAACAGAATCCATGTTTGACATATGACACACTAGCTAGTACACTAAAGAACAGCTAGTCAGTCATACATGCCATGCTGACTAGAACCAGGGGTTCCAACACAAAAGGTTGAATGCTGAAAGTCAAACATTTCAGATTTAGGAATTGCTTTCACTGCATTATCCAGTTCCTCATTTAAAAGACTCCTTTGCATCCTCTGTTAATGTTAGAGTGGGTGCATATACAGCAACAAGGGTGATAAAACCATCAAATAAAATGACATGTATTAACAAATATTTGAAAAGAGAACCTCCATACAGGATATCTAGGAAAAGTTAAGGGAGGGGGTTGCTTAGCATTCTTACAGATTTCTTGGGGAGGTTCAGGCCCCCACCACCAAACCACCAAGCTGCCTTTCACCAGATTCCACCACTCTCAAAAGTAGTAGTAGTACATTTTACCCCACTTGAACATCACTCAAGCGATAAACAGCTGATGACACACAGTGCCATCATGTGGATTGGATGAGGATCACTGTGGAGAGTTCCCGGAAACACTGTTCAGCCGTTCAGCCATGTTTATGGCCGGGTTATATTGTGGCCCCTGGCAAGAGCCAGGGTGGAGCTTCAAAATAACGAAAAATTGCATCCAACAAGGGGATGACCAGTTACTCCAGGAAGCACACCGCTCTCAACTAGAACACATAAAGAATGGCTAATCAAATCTGGCACACTGCTTGGGATAGAAATAATGAATAAACTGGACTTAATCAGGCAAGTCATCTTCACCGATGTGATGTTTACCTGTTCTAAGTACTGCCTGGACATTTCTCTTTCTTGCATTAAGCGATTCCTGAGAACCTCATTCTCCGCCAGTTCTTCTTTCAGTGTGCTTATCTCTCCCAGGCTTCTTGAGTGACGCTGGGTGGTGGAATCTCGAAGTTCTTTCTCCTAGAAATTATCGTATGAAACTGTATTTTGTGTTAACGACGGGCTGAACTGGGTTTAGTTAAGAATTGAACTCTTTCCACTTGGGACATTCCTGTAAGGGACATTTCTATAAGGGACATTCCTGTAAGGGACATTTCTATAAGGGACATTCCTGTAAGGGACATTTCTATAAGGGGCATTCCTGTAAGGGACATTTCTATAAGGGACATTCCTGTAAGGGCATCTGACCTATGATGCTACTATCTGATATTTCTAGACCAGTCAGCAATCTGTGGGTGAGGTAATCAGTAACAAGTCGGCCGCATTTACTTCCCAAGACAATACCCGGTATCCATTTTAGGCTGGGTAGTCTGGAAGCTATGGCAAATTTCCTTCACAGAGACTAGTTTTTAATTGATTAGAATTAGGTTGACCCTGCCTTTAATGGATACGAGGAAATGTTTTGGGAAGTATAGGCACACATTAAACACTTCACTTATAAAGTGTCCCATGGTCTACAGTTGTATTCTCAGGACTCCTGACTGTACGAAAAGGGAATCCATCCCTCTGATTACTCATCATATTCTCAACAAGTCGGACAGATTCGGCAGGAAAGGAACACAAACAAACAACAATATCATACATGATAAACACTCTTCTTTCTGTTTGTGCTCCTGGTGGTTAGCAGACTGTGTTGTGGTTTACAGCTAGGCTGTGATATCAGCGCCTTTTGAATTTAAGCCACACAGTTGGTTTCTTTCCGATCTGGAGGTGGGTGGTGGGTCGTTTTTTTTTTTTTTTAAACCACGCAGGAAACTAGACAGAGCAGAAGACATAGTAAACATCAAAAATGCTTTAGATTTTTATGTTGTCTAGTGTGTTCTTTCATCTTTCTACTTATTTCTATAAGTGCAGATAACAAAGAGACAAAATTTACACAAACAAGAGTTGAATGGGAGTAGATCATGAAGCAAGAAGACAGATGAGAGAGAATACATAGGCAGATCTATAAACCCTTTAGGTCACCAGCTGGAAAGAGAAGGACAATCGGAGAACAAAACAACAAACAAACAAGTGTTATTTTCAAAGGCTGAGAATTGGGCATGCAAGCACATCTATTTCAGTCTCACACTTTGCATATAATTTTTCCTTTAAACATCATTTCATAGATAATAATAATCTAATAATAAGGTTAGCTGCGTATCCTTTACAGGACGTTGCAGAACCAACCTGTGTGGTTTATCTAACCAAATTTACGTCCAATAGTTTGCCATTGCTTTCTGGATGGTCAGCTTTCGATACCACTGTCGAAACCAACTCAAGGGGCATGGCCCGCAGCTGGGATCGAACCCGGCATCCCAGCATTACGAAGGGTTCACATCGATTTAGCCACAGAGCCGACTAATCTAATAATAAACATTTTCTTAATTATACATGGTGGAATGTGCTCTAATTATACTTACATGACCAAACTAAAGACAAAATTATTTAGTATAATAATAAATCTAATCCAATAATGTTATAAGTCTAATTGGTGGCATAATATAAACATAATTGACAACAACTAAATATTAATTGCAATTGCTGGAATGTGCTCAAGGGTTCGGCCTGCCATAAAAGAAGACAGCACTAAGATGGGAAGCAGAGTGCTGAACCAAATATGGTGGTGCACTACGACAACAGCTCACACTGGTCAAGTCCCATCTCACATATCCCTGTAGTCATTCTAGGAACAGGCTACTGGCTTGGAGCCTGGCCAACATAGACATAATCAAATTTTCCTTAGAAGAGTACATTCGCAAAGAGCCAACAGTCAGCACACAAATAAGCCAATTCTGTAAAAGGGATGAGCATGCAAAACTCAAGTTTTGGAATGAAAGTCTAGAAAATGACGCATTGCAAGAACTTTTCGCCGGAGTGTACACCCAGTGATCATAAAGAAGAAGGAGAGGATGACTAAACAACACTTACTCGTTCCAACTGTTTTGTTAACTCAGTAAGCTGTTGAGTCAGGGCAGAGTTTTCTCGGACAATACGGGCTATATCGTCTGCAACTTTGTCTCGGAGAAATCTGTCCCTTTCGACTTCAAGTTCTGTTTCAGTAAGTCTCTGATGCAACAAGCGAAGCTCATTCTGATGAAAAGAATAATAGTAGATGCTTTTGATGGTAATTCTTTCTGGCATTACAGGTGTTTAAATAGATCCCTACACAATTACTACAACATGCCAATAACTAGGGCTGTACCGAATATTCGATTCGGGGGCGAATAGTGGACCTAATAACTATTCGGTTTTCGGCCAAATAGCTGCGGTCGGGCCGTATACGAATAGTGGTTACCTTACACCCGTTTCTGCATACACTGAAATAGACTGAAATAACTCTATCATTAACACAATAGGTGCAGAAGGTACAGAATAAGACATTCGAGTTACCATTGAAACAGAAGTGAATAACTACCTGTCAGAGCCATGTATCCCAAGAAACCGGACTGGTGGAAAATAATCATGTCAAGATTTCCCACCTTCGTTCATACTGTCAAGCGTTATCTTTGTGCACCACCTACGAGCGTATGAAGTGAACGTCTGTTTAGTACAGCTTGTAGCGATTCTTATTTTCTCTTAGATAAATTTTGCCCAGATGTAATGACGTCAGTAATTAATTAAAGTGGAATATTTTAAGTGTAACACGATAAATGCTGACCAGACGAACTATCATGAAAATCACAAAGAAGGTAAGATTCACGGGGATCACAAATAAAGTGCTGGCCAAATAGAATTCGGGTAAATCAGGGAACACGGAGAATTCGGGAATACAAAGAGGGGCATTAGAAGGCTATATATTACTTTAGAAAAGGCTGGGAGTTAGTCTCGTTTAGGCCTAGGAAATGAATACATGAAGAATGATGGAGTGTCTGCGGAATCCAGAAAGAGTGTCTAAGTTCGATGTGTCTGCACAGTGTTTTTCCAACGCCTACCTGGCCATCAGTTGCGGCGAACGGAAGTCGTAGCCAGCTGAGAATGTTTTGTGTTTTTGATCGGAAGGAATCGTTGTTGTTCATTCAATTGTGGGATGGATGTTAGATTATAAGGTAAAGTTGACATGTTAGATAAGTGAGGATAGATATGAGTGACTATGTTGTCCAGTAACATTTACTGGCTGCAATACAAATAAACTGTACTTGTAATTTGGATCGTTTCGACAGCGTCCATGTTTTCTCGTGTGTTGTCAGTCGGTGAATGGAAGCGTGCAATGACTCACTAGAGCCAGAAGACAATAGAAAGTCATCGCATGAATGGGAGCTCGTCTGGAAATACCTTCAGTGAGACGATAAGCTGCCTTAATGCTGACAACATGGAACGATTAGTTTTGTTGAAAGTTAATGCCGCTTTCATGCATTAACTAAGCTGTCAGTGACATTTTACAAGTTTAGTTAGTTGTTATAAAACTAAGAATACTTTTATTCCTAGTTATTAGTTACCAAAGACTGACTGGCTGAAGGATGCAAAACATAAAATGTTTTTGTTTACTATTCTGTACTACATTTTGTGAAGTAAAATTTCAGCGTACATTTGACATTATGAATGTGTTTTTTTTAAGATCTATTTTATACAATATACACTATTCGAAAGAGGAAGAATGGGCCTCAGTTTGAATAGTGGAAAGACAGAAGTAATGGTGGTATCAAAGAAAAGAATTATTCCTAAATGTGTAATAAAAGTCAGTCGTGTTATTTTTGGACAAGTACAGAAATTTAAGTATCTGGGCACATGGATAACATCAGATGGAAGATGCATTACTGAAATAAGAAACATAATAGGACAGGCAAAAACTGCATTTTATAAAATTAAGGACATCTTATGCAATATATCTTTGTCATTGAAGGTCAGAAAAGGAATTTTTGCTTGCTACATCCATCCAGTTTTAACATATGGCTGTGAGTCCTGGACAATCGGTAGGCAGGCCAAACAATTTCTTGAGGCCTCGGAGATGTGGTTTTACAGAACAATGCTTAGAATACCTTGGCCAGCCAAAAAAAGCAATCAAGAGATTTTGAAAGAGGCGGGAGCCCAAAGACAAATAATCACAGACATCAGAAGGAGACAGTCATCATTTTTCAGCCATGTTATGAGAAGAGGGAAAATGGAACATGTGGTAACCACTGGAAAGATATGTGGAAGGAGGGATAGAGGAAGACAACGAGAAAAGATTCTTGACAGTCTTTTTGCATGGCATGGAGGTGTGTCAGCACACGAACTAATACATGTTGCAGGAGATCACAGATTGTGCAAGGGATAATCACCCACACCCGTCGGCTAGGCACCTGATGATGATGATACACTATTCGTATTCGTATTCGGCCGAATAGTTGGTCCCGCTATTCGTATTCGGCCGAATAGTGAAAATCACTATTCGGTACAGCCCTACCAATAACAAATAATTTATAAGCAAAAGAGTAACTACAATTTTTTGCAATAGTAGAAGCAAAGAAGAAAATAAAGTAGAAGAAAAAGACAAAGAGGAGGAGGAGAAGAAGAAAAGGAAAAAATGGAATAGAACATTCTATAAAAATCTTATTGTATGAATTATCACCCTTAGATCTTCATTCAATTTATCCTTGACAGTGATTGTGCTGGAAATAAACTTCTCCTCTAATTCCCTTAACTGGGCCTTAGTTGAGAGGAGTTGTGTCCTCTTTTCATCAAGGGCAGCCATAGTCATGTTGTGTTGTTCTATTCTTTGTTCAAGCTGTTGATAAAGATAAAGGTTATACAGTAAAACCTTTTCAACACAAACTCTTTAAGAAAAACAACAAAATAACATGAACAAAGTTTTGTCCCAACAATTATTAATATCTTGTCATCCCTTTGTGAGAGGCAATTTTTCGTTATTTGAAGCCCTAATCTGGCTCTTGCCAGGGGCTGCAATATAGCCCGACCATAAATATGGTCTAATGGCTGAACGCAGCTTCTGGGACCTCTCCACGAATTATCCTTATCCACATGGTGGCACTTTGTGTCACTGAGTGTTTATCGCTTGTGTGATGTCATGGTGGGGTAGAAAGTAGATAGAGATAGATAGATAGGTCCCAACACTGACCTATTATTACTGTTTACTACTGAGTAAGTGACATTAATCCCCACCAGGGCCGCACAAGTGCAAGTCCCAGAAACACTGTTCAACCCATAGGTTGTATTAGGATTCCTGACAACAGCCGGGGTGGGGTTTTAAAATAACAAAATGTTGCGTCTCATATTAAAACTAGGGTGCTTTATTAATACCCTACCCAAAACAGGGGAAATCTACAGGTCACGGGACAGTCTAATATTTCAGGGGTTGATTGATTGCATGCAGTAGTGGGACCTAGGTTGCAGTCTCTCGTGGGATGTAGGTGGGTTGGGGTTAGGGCCAGTTCTAGATGTTTTTGGGTCGTTAAAAGCACCAAAAAGCCAGGAAACCCAGTCTTACCACCCTATAAAATGTTGGACTGTCCTGTGACATCATCTGGGGTAAGATATTAATAAAGAACCAAGACTATGACTACTACTATTATTATTATTAGTACCAAGCCAGTAAACTGTGTTTGAATTCTGCCCCAATATGGGACACAATGTATTTTTTTATTTTAAAGCCCCCATCCCAGCTGGACTTCAGGGTATTTTGTAACCATCGTCATGTGCCCTAATATAATCTTATGGTTGAATAGGGTTTCTAGGACTTGTGTCTGGGGGAATTCTTTGTGTCACCAGGTGTTAATCGGGAGTCACCGTGGCCGAGCAGCTAGATGCTCGCCGAGGCTTGGAAGGTCGTGGGTTCGCTCCCTGGTGAAGCTGGACTTTTTTCAAAACTAACGTTGGCTCCCAGGTCAACCCAGCCTTGAGTGGGTACCAGGTGCAGTCCCGGGAAGTAAAGGTGGCCGGCGTGATGCTGACCACATTACCCTTATTACATTATTACATTACATATAGGTCTAGCCTTTTATGCCCTGTATGCCTAATGGCATGGAAGAGGGTCCTTTACTTTACTTTACCAGGTGTTAATCGCTTGTTGTGTGGTCCTGGTGGGGTTAAGCATCACCCACTCCAGCAAAGATTTTTTTAAAAACAGGATCTCAATATTTGTTCCGTGGAATTCGTGTTAAGAAGGTTTTACTGTAATTAACCATTAAAAGACACTTCCATCACATAGCCAGACATTTGTTGCTAGTTCTCATCAAAGCCGTGAAAAGAACTTTAACGGCTTTGCCAGTTTGTCTAGCTTTTGCATTTTCATGCAACTGTTTGTACCATCATGAGTTTATTATTATGTTGGGATGAACAAATGATCAAACCTAATGAAAACTAGAACTAATTAGCTCACATTATCACAAACACAAAAGACAAGTAAGTGGTGCGACTAAAAAGCCTTCATTAGCACATTACATGACTTAGGAATGTTACAATTACAAGAATACACAAAAATCACTTGAATGTGGTATCTCCAAAAGAAAGGATGTTAAGTCCCCTGTGTGAATTGCAGCCCATTAGATAGATAAGGCGGTTCTTGAGAAACTTAAGGACTCTGTCACTGGAGTGGTTAGACTTGAGGGCCATAACCTTCCTGTTGTAGACACCTTGGAGACAATGAGAACTGAAATGCACTGGCACTGATTTGAGGGCACTTTCCTGCACATCAGAAAGATGTTGCCTGAACCTCTCAGTTCAGCCTGTTGCTCCATTTCACTGATGTATTATGCTGATTGACCCTTGACACATTTTCCAGAGACAACATTCATTTTCGGTGCTTTCTAACCCGCTAGCTGAGTGGCTAGAATGCCAGTCTCATGCAGGAGATAAGGGTTCCAATCTTTGGTAAGGTGGTAGACTTGGGACAAAAACAACATCCTAACCTGCATATTCTGTAAAGACTAAGCCTCTGTGAAGTTTAATACAGCCTTTAAAACAGGCTTAGACAATTTAAGTTTTCCTCTTCAAGATGTAATGTTTTTCAATGTCAATTAACTCCAGCCTAATGTCAATCAGACATTGTGGTGTAATGTTTATCTTCAGGATCCTCGCCGGTGCTACGGAGTTCGTGCACTGTGTTGAGATTCTTTGGACTCAGACTTGAGTTAGAAGTAGAACTGAGCGCTTATGGGTTACTACCCTCGTGATATGATGTTGATCCGTTGTCTAAACCTTAAACCTCATAAATTTAAGAATACAAACCTTACTAAATATCCATCCATCCATCCATCTATCTATCTATCTGTCTGTCTATCTGTCTGTCTGTCTGTCGATATTTGTTTGCAAGCACAGGCACCACTTTTATTCCATGCGGATGGACTAATGTCATCCCCACAACCCAACCCCGGTTACGCCCAATAGGCCAACCCCTCCCTCCCTCCTTAGACACTCAGTGTACCCTGTTGGCGTCAAACCCGTCCCTTTTTTTGCCCCTACCTGCGCGTTAGAGGTATATAGGCTGACCGTCATTCCATTGAACAAAGTTTTTTCGCCAGGGACACTAGATGAGTATCGTTTATACTATACATTAGAGTCCTATGTAGTCACTTCATAGTTAGAGCCTATCTGTGTATGTGTACTGTGTTGTCCTTTATGTGCTGATGAAGGCTAATCGCCGCAACGTCCTTTGTTTGTTTATTGTGATCGATTTTGTAAAGCTAACATAAACTAATTGTTGTTTCTTACCAACTTTTTCTCTTCCCTATAATTTTCTACTCCTTATAAAAAATTCCATAATCTGTGTAAACAATATCTAGATAAATTTATGTTTTACCTGGGCTTTGAGAGTATTAATCTTCATTTCTGCATTATTCAGTTCCAGTGCCGATCTGTCAAGTTCATTTTTTACGTCCAAAATCTCCTGATTTTTTCTAGCAAGTTCTCTTTCAAGCCTGTCCTTTTCCTTCTTCATGGTAACGAGCTCTTCTGTCAACAATGTTTTCTCTCTCCGGCGATTCTCTGGAAATAAATTTATAATAGACATTTGTTAAGTTAGACTTAAAAACTATAACTGGAGCAGCTGAGTTGCTAGGCTTTCAGGCAGGGAACCCAGTTCAAATCCTCCTTAAGATGATGGAGGTTTTGTCTTTCGGAGTCAAAAGTAAACAACATAACCTGTACAATTCATGGCGGTGTATTAAAGATGTGGCCTCTTTGCCTCAGGATTATGATCCCTTTGTCCTAAACTGCCCTAAAAGTGGCAATACAAGCAGAAAAGCAGTTATACTAAAGGCTTTTTCTTCTTTAAAAAAGGGTGCTGGTACTCACATTAAAAAAAAATGTCCGTCATCTCCCTTGTGGGTTGAAATTTTTCGTTATTTTAATGCCCCACTCTTAATTGTCTGGGGCGGCAATATAATCTAACAGTTGAACGCGGTTTTTATTCTGGTGGGGTAAAATAAATTACTCACCATAAAGTGTATTAAAAGGTGCTCTGGCACTTGCTAAAATGTGTCTATAACAGTAACACTGAAAAAAAGAAAAAGCTGCCTAAAAAAATGTTCTGATAATGTGAACCACCAGAAGAAAAAAGCTTTGTTTATACTACATATTACATTCATAAACATAACAAAGGGGATGTTGCCTTTATTACTAGGCAAGTGTGTGCTAAAGTAAGGGAGCTTGGTCATGTGTTACAGGAGCAAAAAAACTGTCATTATTATAATGCACCTAAAAAAAAAGGAACGAACGAACGAACTTTATTTTCAAAGGGTCACAAATTGGGCACGCAGGCCTGTCTTACATTCGGCCCTTCCAGTCAATCATCTTTCGCACAGCAGTTGTATTTTACTAATAAAGCATGTTATGATCATATGATGATATGCATATTATGAACATTACAAGTAAGGTGGTGAGGATGTGGGGTTGGCATGAGGTTAGTTATCTTATCCCACAGAATTATTATTATTATTCTATTTCTACTGCTGCTTCTGCTGCTGCTTCCTCTTCTTCTTCTTCTCTTTTTCCTCCTTAAAAAAAATCCGCTGAGCTTAAAGTAAAACCCTCCTTAATGCTATTTTAAGTTAACATATTTATATCCTGTCTCGGAAGCTGAAATATTTTGGTCATATCAAGCGCCATGATTGGAAAAAATAATAGCAGAAGACATGGTACCAGGAAGGAGAGACAGGGGCTGACGAACACAAAGATGGGCACAGGATATAAGTTACTCCTTGAGTATGAAAGTATATGAGGCGGGAGAGCTGGCGAGAGATTGAGTTTCTTTCAGGCAGACTGTAATGAAAGCGACGTTCTGCAAAGGACCTGCTACATGATGATGATATTCATATCCTGACCTCCTTAACATTTGTACAGAAGTCAAAGCAGTCAGTAGCGTTAATGAAGTGTCTCATGAACAGGACACTATAGAAAAATCAGAAAAGTTACATTTACAGGAATTGCATCACAAGTGAAAGTGTCAGATTTGCAGATTCTCAAGGTGAAAAGGTTAACAGGATTTTATACAAAGACAGGAGTGACTACACATTTTCACAAAATGAGTGAATTCACCTTGCTCCAAGTGTATCAGTTCTGCTATGCGCTCTTTCTCTGAAGTGTGGATGTTTATTTGTGAGTCTTTCTGCTTTATTTCCAAGTTTTTCTGGTCAATCTCAGCCTGCATCTCCTGTAAAGTAAACAAATTACATTTTGAATGTTAACACCTTCTGTCCTGATAAGCTATTTAAAAAGTTAGTAAAAACGTTTTTTTTTTTTTAAATTCTAAGTATTTGGTATATTTGTCAACACCTTTGGCTTAGTCACTATGAACACTTATTGTAATTCCAAAATACTTGGTTCAATTTCAGATGCAGGCAATTTAACGGCAGACCACTATACATTGATTCTCACAGTGGTATAGAGCAGCGACCACTCAGAAAGCAATGGCAAACCCCTGAATGTATATTGTATCTAGTCAAATCACAAACAGCCAGGGGTTGCTTCTGCCTCCTCCTGGAAAGGATTCACTACTAGCTTTGAGTGTATACTCGAGCCCGCTATTTTTCAACCAGCCATAATTCAGGGAGAGATGTGGTCAATGCTGGAAATGGTGCCAGACACAATGTAATTAGGAAAACATGAAACGATATCCCTAGAAAATCTTTGCACTGGAACCCTGAGGGTCAAAGAAAAATTATAAATCAATGCTTTCTGTCCTTGACCGCCAGGAATCCAGTCTTTTCTAATTACTCTTTCTTATGTTGTGTCACCTTTAAATGGGCGGTTGGCACAGTGTGTTGTGGTTTACAGCAAGCCTACAATCTGTTCCATTTGGCTCAATATGTCTGACTGAAGCAAATTCCTAACATGTCACCTTTAAATGGGCGGTTGGCACAGTGTGTTGTGGTTTACAGCAAGCCTACAATCTGTTCCATTTGGCTCAATACGTCTGACTGAAGCAAATTCCTAACATGTCACCTTTAAATGGGCGGTTGGCACAGTGTGTTGTGGTTTACAGCAAGCCTACAATCTGTTCCATTTGGCTCAATAGGTCTGACTGAAACAAATTCCTAACATGTCACCTTTACAGCATGCTTGATGGAGGGCAGTGGTTCCATCCCCCCCCCCCCCTCCCTTTCCCATGGGGCACTGAAATGCACAAAGGGAAGTCACTCTTTCAACTCCAAACAATTGACACATCCAACCATTCTCTGCCCCAAACATTTGGTCCATGAATCTGTTGTGTACTAGGCACTCTTTCTGAGCCAGATATCCAGTAAAATAACCCACAGCCTCTAGGACAGAAACAGTTAACAAATGAACATGAAAAAAGTCAACAATGAACATATGGTGTTTTGGGTATGGAAAGAATTTACATAAACTTACTCGTAGTTGAGTCAACATGTTATCGGCTTCTCTCACCATCTGAGGATGCATTTCAGTTGCCTTTCTTGCTTGCTCTCGACTGATACAAGTGTTAAAAGAGTTTTTCATCTTCTTTTAATATATTCAAGCAAATTTAGTCTACTTTATTGACAAAACTGATAAACAAAAAACAAAAACAAAAAATAAACAGAATAATTTTACAATAAAATACTCACTGAGAAACAAAATAAATATGGCTGCTAAACAACTTTAAAGAAAAAACCTCTTTCCTGTGTGGGGTCTGGAGACCCCATTTTGGAGGAACAAAGAACAGACCCACTGTCCCCAACATGTTGAGTTGAGTCAAAAATTGACACCACAGCACTCGGGGCATTCACATGTGTGCTCCGTCCTCATCTTCAGCAGCCAGCGCAGAGTTCCAATACTAATGGTACTGGTCACAATCTGGTTAAATGTCCGTCTTGCCTTTCTTCTGAGTGTAGTGAGCAGGCCAGACCCTCTGGTTACACCCAGGTGTCTCATTCTCTCCAGGCTGGAAAGAATGAGGGGTGTTTATTTTGAAGTCAGAGTGCATCAGCCTCGATGGTGAGGAACCAACAGTCTACTTACAACAAAAAAAAAAGCCAGATCTGTAAAATGGTTGTGCACACAAAACTCAAGTTCTAGAATAAGACTAAAGTCCAGAAGTGGAGGAAATGCCAGATTTCTGCCAGAGTCTGGCAAAGCTCTACACCAAAGGGTAGAAGAGGATTGATGAAGATGTAAAGTATAGCCAGTATGTTACTGGAACAGTCAGCATCTACACACTGTATCATTTTCTGAGAGTTCTGTGGTGTTGATTCTTCATTTACCATTAATCAATTTCCACTATATGGTCTATGCTTGGTTAATAGTCATATCTAGGACCTTAAATGTTTTAAAAATGACTATTATAAACAAGGTCCAGACTTTACTGCTTAAAGGTAAAGTCGAGAGATGTGAACCAGTGTCATTGCACACGGTTATAAACCATGGGTGCTCTGCCCCCAGTGCGGACAGCTGATAAGAAACTGTCCGCCTGTGTCGCCGTCCGCACACAACTCCGTAGCTACAGCAATGTTCCTCAATTTACCCCAGAGTGTTAACTCTGGTACTCATTACCTAGAGCCTGGGTGAACCCCGCCGTGGGTTGCAGCTGGATTTGAAAGCGAGTCTCCCATTGTCTGCGCTAACACAACCCCTGAATGGTTTTTTTTTAAATGCAGGCTATACATTTTGCAGAATACATTAGAGTTATTTCCAATGTGACCCCTGAACTAGAAGTATAGTAGTGACTCACAGTGTATGGAAAAATCCAAAATATTGTTTTTGGGTGGGGGGGGGGAGGGGGGAGAACTTTGGTGATTATTCTTGCATTTGTATTCTAAGGTGATAGCTTGTGGTAAAACACACGCCTGCTTTCATGTTGCATTATTCTAGTGCATGGTATCAATGCAAGCATACAACAATATCAATTACCAAGATTCATTTAATTTAATGTGGATAACAAAATTGTTGAAAAAAGAATTAAAATGGATACAGATAATTGGTTTCCAGTTCCAAGAAGTAAATCTGTCTTTGAAGACTCTTGATATATTCGGCTTCAATAAAGGTCAGATCAACTGCAGATTTATCCAATTTTCTGAAGAAAAAAAATATATGAGACGTAAATACTCAGCCTGATGAAAGGTAAATGGCCAGTTTATTTAGCATCATTTAAAGCAAAAGGAATTAAATTGTTATTTGAAACATAATGTTAAATAACTATAATACACTTGGAGATGGAGGATAGAAAATGAAAACTGGTCACACCGGGATTCAAATTTTTTACCTCCAGATAATGTCAGCCAGATCTCCTTTCTATGCTGACGCCAGATACGGAAGATATAATTCAGTATGCAGTGCTTCTTACATAGGGACAAAAGCTGATCCCACTGGGATAGAGCAAGTGAAGAATGTTAGTGATTGAAGCAGTGATTCCCAAACTGTGCGCCGCAGCGCCCAGGGAAGCCATGACCTCTTCACAGGGGCACCACAAAATATCCGAAGATACACAAGTTTTTTTTTTTTTTTATCTCTTACAAATGGATAGTCATACTTTTACTTAGGTTAGGGCGCTGTGGAAACATTTTTATTGGGAAAAAAAAGGGGCCGTGACTAAGACAAGTTTGGGAAACACTGATTAAAGTCATACCCACTCATGTTTCCTGTGCTTTTCCTGAGAGCATTAGCAATTGTCACTCTTTTCTTGGTCAACTTCAACGGGGTGCCATTTGTGTCAGCATCTGTGATGAAGTAATGGTGACCGGAAAAATAAGATTACCAAGATTATTAAGACAGTGTCTATTAGGGAATCACATTCAACACTGACAGTCTGGAAAGCAAAATGGTTCAAACATTTGTCTCAGGTTTTGAAGTTTGCAAATTCTATTTTGGACGCTGCTTTTTGGTTTGAGAGTGCAGGTGTTTCAGAAATCCCAGAGGGTCAATGCAGAAGCTACGAAGTTTAGGCTTTGTGCAATTCTCATGAAGGTGAACAGTGGCTCTCCTGACAGACTAAGTCAAAAGGAATACAATCCAGAGCTATGAAAGTCAATTCTCTTGCCTTTAACCCTTTCACCCCAAAAGCAGAAAAACTGACATTTCTGGCCAAATTCCCCGTAAATGTCACTTTTCTGACTTGTCTATACAAACCTGTTTATGAGATACACAGTTAATGCTACTGACTCAGTTCACTTCTGCGCAAACATTTAGTAGGTCAGGATATAATTACATTAACTAACAATAGTATTTAGGGGATTTTTCCTTTCAGCTAAATGGCTTTTATAAGCTAAATTGACATTAAGATTTTCTCCTAAGTGATAAAACTAATGGGGTCACTGCATGAGTCACCCAATATGTGTGTTTTTCTGCCCCAAAGGATTTATTTGGTTAATGTTTGCATTTATTGATTACTCCTTCCATATTTCTTTATATATGTCAAAAATTTTTTTTTTTACAAATGTAGATAAAAGCCCTTAAACATCTGCTAAAGTCAAAGTGTCTGTCTCGCAACACAAGATCAAAATATGTAAAACGTTGATAAGACAGTCGTTTTATATGGCTCTGAAACTTGGAACACAACTAAAATAGATGAAGCCTTATTACAGGTTTTTTTAAACAGAGTCTTTCGACTAATCTTTGGACCTATCAAAGATGTAAACAGCGGGTAATGGAAAGTGAGAAACAACAATGAAATTCATAATCTGTTTAAATCACCACTGATTACTGGCATCATGAAAGCTAATAGACTGAAATGGTTGGGACATATTGAAAGAATGTCAGATGACAGAGAAGTAAAAACTGTATGCACAAGGGAGATGAATGGTCGTAGACCACAAGGCAGACCAAGAAGAGGATAGAGAGATAATGTCCAGATAGACCTGCAAATACTTGGTGTTACCACCTGGAAAGAGAGGCCAAATAGAGAGACAAATGGAGGTGGGTGATATCTGGAACAATGAACCTCCAGGGCTCGGAATGCTGAAGAAGAAGATAAATATATTTTTGATGTTTTTATAGATTTTTTGTTTCTGGAATTCTAGTGATGTCATAGCCTTTGTTTTTTAAGTATTCATGGGTGAAAGAAATGGTTAAACAACTTTAAACTTCACTTACTTTTAGACAGAGAAGGAGATGGGGTTCGTGATCGAAAATCCTGTCCATCAATATGGTTTGCCTGTTTGTCTCTCTCTTGACTTGCTGATCTAAGAGACTGTCTCCACTGACGATCACCATGTTTGTGTGGTGACGCAGACTCTGACATGGTATCAGCCATTACAGTATTTGTTAGCCAGATCTTTTATAGTTGTTCTTGACAATCAACTTGGAAATAATATTTAATTCAATTAGTTAGACCAATAATACATATACATAACAGTAAGGATATATGCCCATGTAATCTTTCAAGTTATTTACTTCAAAAAGCTAAATTTAATGACAATGATCAATGGTTTTTCCTCATGTGGATTATGGGGGAAAAGAACAGACACACTGCATCCTTAACAGGCATGTTGTAAAAGACAACTAATTAAAGATTTCTCCTCCAAAATCAGAGCATATCTGCCTAAGAGATAAGGAACCAACAGTCTGCATACTCATTATACAGTATCTGTCATAATCAGAACCCAATGGGTATGAACAGGACAACATTTCAAATAGTGATAAATGATTAAAACTGCAGAAATGTCGGCTCTCCTTCAAACGGCATCATAAAATGGCGGCCATAATATGATGCCGTTCGAAGGAGAGCCAAATTGGCTACATTTTGGCCATAAAATATCCAAAAATATCCAAATGGGGCTCAGTTCTATTAAAAATATGCCGGCTCCGTATAACGAAACAAATGCTCTAACAGGGTCTCGGCGATATGTTACTAGCGGACCTGCTTCTGCGACTGTGCTTCACCGCTGACCGTATCCCCCTTGCCGCTACGTGCGGCGCAAATGGGGACTAAACTAGATTGCTGGGACTCATGAGCAGCAGCTACCGCATCTCCTGCAACTTCCTCCAATTACTTTACTCGTGAGTCCCAGGCAATTAGTTTAGCCCCACATCCGCGCCGCGAGTAGCGGCGCGGGGGATACGCTCGGCGATGAGTTTAATCGCGTTTGGCACATGCCGACAAGTCTGACATCCACCGCTGCTAAATCCTCAATCGGAAGAACAGTATTGCTAATCGCTTTCATCATCTGTAATGTCTCGAAATTGTCAACCGTCGCTAATATCATCTGCTAGTATCGTCTGCAGAAACGCTCGAAATTGTCAACGGTCGGTATTTATTGTCTGCTACTACCGTGTGCAATGTTGATATTGTCAAGTAATCCTCTTTTTACCGCGATTTTTTCCTTGGCAGAAAGTCCGTATTTTAGATATGCCTGAACACCGTTCGGATATTTTATGGCCAGAATGTGGCATCATATTATGGCCGCCATTTTATGATGCCGTTCGAAGGAGAGCCGAAATGTCTGACTGCAAAAGACACTTTGTAGTGTGAACTGTTACAAGCATTTTCTTCAAGACACTTTGTGGTTATTATTATTTTCTCAGAAAAAAAAAACTATCGGAGATAATAGTAGTTCAAAGAAATACTGAAATCGTGTTTAGTTTTGTTTGACTCCTCGGTCTTATGTAGAGAAGAGAATCCTGTTGCTGTTAATGCAGAGGTCAACTATCTCATCGGTGAAAATTCAGACGAAGCAGATGCAATAATCTATACAGACGGATCCGTTATACGCCAAAGAAGAAGCGCATGGGCATTTACAGCACGCTCAGCGGGCAGAACAGTCAAAGAAGCCAATGGCGCTTTCTCCATGACAACCAGCAGCATGATGATGGAGGTGATGGCAGTGACGCAAGCGTTTGCCTGGCTTGAAACACAAAAATACACCCGTGTATGAATACTCAGTGATTCAATGAGTATGATCCGGAGGGTTCAGGCAGGTTCAGTGCGAAGACAATGGCTTGAATCATTACAAAAGTCCACTGTGCGTGGAGTCACCTTTATTTTTGTTCCGGGATACACAGGCGTCGATGGAAATGAAAGAGCTGACAGGTTGGCTGGATCCGCTATCACTACCGACGGTTAGCCTATGGATCATGCTGACATTATCAATGCCCTCAATGATGGGTGGGAAGGAAAGAGACTTTGGTGGCAGTGAATCCACATCACTCGCCAGAATGGCAGACTTGGGAATTAAGATCGGCACAGCAAAAAACGAGACGCACACCAGAAGACTTGTTAATCAACATAGAACTGGTACTATAATTAGCCATCGGACGTTGGGGTTCATACTGAGGGGAGGATCTGAGCACCTATGGACATGTCCGGAGTGCAATGAGGATAACCCAACTAACTAACTAGCTAATTTGAGACAACAGAAGTATTATGATTTTTCGAGAGATAGAATCATAGAGAATTAATCACTATTAGTATTACTATTAGAGATAGTGAATTAATGAATTAATTTGAATGTTTTAAAACAGTGCACTCACTGACAGTAAAAAACTTAAGCCTTTGTATCTAGTAACAGGCTGTTGTTCAAGCTACCACGAAAATACACGTTACATTGAGCCCTTGAGCTAGTGTGTTATTCTGGATAAATTAGTTATACACCTTTGAATCTTTGAACAAGCGTAAAGAAACATGTTTCCAAGCGGAACAAGAAAAACTTTTCGCCGTTGGTATGGCAACACAGATGGAGCCTTTAGTTTAGTTTCGAACTTAGCTGAGCAAGCGCGACAAGGGAGAAATTTAGAAGCAAGACTTTTGCTTCTTCTGCTAGCATCTTTTATTTTTGTGTTTGTGAGTATTAAGTATCATTCTTTTTTCAGCACTGCTGCAGTGGACATTTTGTGGTTGGTACGGGCACCCTTTTAACGTCTTTTTTTTTTGGGGGGGGGGGGGGGGGGGGGGGGGGTCTTACCTTCCCCTTTCTTTTGTAAAAAAAAAGGGCTGTTGGCAGTTGTAGTTTATAGCTCAAAATCAATCAGCAAGTCCTTTACTAAAAGTCGCTGTCGTCGCAACACGCCAAAAAGTCTCTCTTTAGCAAATTCTCCAGCCCGATGTGCTTTTATAGCCAATACATCTTCAATGTCTGGCATCCACCACCACGGAGGTCTGCCTCTGCCACATTTTCCGGAATCGGTACCCTCCATCCCCGTTATCTCCAGGCCACAATGATGTTTGAAATGGCCGGATACTTCAACTTTCGGGACAGGATGCTGTTTATGTGCCAGTTCTCCTCGACGCTCGGATCATCTGGCATGTCGAAGTTTTTGTGACGACAATATAAATAAGTCATTGACATTCAAGTAATGCTTACATGTTGAGTCAGGGCATTCCCACATATTGTGTATGAGTTGAGTTGATTCAAGAACCGACATCGCAGCACAGAACATTCAGAAACAAATAAATATCAAGAAAAACTAACGATATAGTTTCGTCGCCCAGCTTCTGAGTTGAGTGCATGGCGTGACACTGTGAGCTGCGTTTGTTTTTCGTTGGCACAGGAGCGGAGCATATGTGGGGTGACCCGTTTGCTATGAAGCTGAAACTAGGATTACCAGATTACCAGATTACCAGATTACCAGATTACCAGATTACCGGATTACCAGATTACCAGATTACCAGATTACCAGATTCACAATATAACAAACACAAAAGCTCACAGAAACAAATAAAGAAATTCATTTGCAGGACACATACAAACATGTCTCCTTTGATAAAGATATGATAAAAAGAGACGACGAGGTAAGAAAAAGAACAGAGGAAGGAGAATAATAAAGGAAAAGAAATTAAATTGTGTGAAATAATCTAAATTAGCCAAAACTGCCTAACTTTCCCCCACGCCCATCTGTATTTATATCTCAAGATGGCCGTGCTTTCCCCTTATAGTATAGATACTGAGAATGTGTCACATATACAAAGCAAAGGACCCAGACCAGCATATATATGTGTGTAAGCAAAAACGTGTACATGCACTCTCGCTTGGGTGTGTATATATCTATTTGTTTGTATGCAAACGCGTATGCGTGCATTCACTCATTGGTCTGCAGATATGTATGTTATGTGTGTTTGCACACACACACACACACACACACATATATATATATATAAATAATCATCATCATCAGGTGCTTTGCCGACTGGCGTGGGCGATCATGCCTCTCCATAATCTGCGATCTTCTGCAGCATGTATCAGTTCGTGTGCCGACACACCTCCATGCCATGCAACAAGACTGTCAAGCATCTTCTCTCGTTGTCTTCCTCTATCACTCCTTCCACAGATTTTTCCAGTGTTCACAACATGTTCTATTTTCCCTCTTCTCATAACATGGCCGAAAAATGATGACTGTCTCCTCCTGATGTCTGTGATTAGCTGTCTTCTGGCTCCCGCCTCTTTCAAAACCTCTTGATTGCTTTTTTTAGCTGTCCAATGTATTCTAAGCATTCTTCTGTAAAACCACATCTCCGAGGCCTCCAGAAAATAAACGCATATGAAAGAGTTTGCGTGTGTACGTAATGTCAATTAGGTATGCATATACGGATAAGTATGAAAGGACGTACAAATATGTAGTGTTGTCTGCATGTATGAGTACTCGAGTGCATGTACGCATACACCTAGTTGGGTGCGTCCATATACTCCGGGGATTCATAAACAAAACCATCCCACTCCACAGCATGCATACAACATGCACATGACCGACAGGACTCATAACAAAAATATGACTGACAGCAAATAGGGAATACAAGTGACTCGATAATGACAGGACTAGAACGCATAACCCCCAATACCACCCCATCACTGGGATGATAGCAAAGGTTGGTAACGTGATACACATAGTCCCGGCAAAAAGCCACGCTAGAATCCAGCAAGACGGCAACGACGAGAATTGATGAATGGCCTCCCGCTCCCCTTCCCCCCACCTTTCCCTAAATCTTTCGGATGCACTATGAGTTTAACCCCCCAACCCATTCCCACAGAGAGCACTTGAGTTCGTTGCCCAACATGCCACAACAATTCTCATCGCCGATCATTTGGATCTCAAAGCGTGAGCTGGACGGTCCGGTTATATGGTATTTACGTACACCGGAGCTTAGCTATCAACACAACCCGATCACATAATAACAAATGACGACTGGACCCGCCTTAAGACTCCACACAAACTCTCACACACATATCCAATACATGACTAACCCGTTCATATTACAGGAAGACAACTATAAGACCACTATGGTCACACGCGGAAAATTTTTCACATTTCGGAACTATTCAC